ATATTATCCAATAATGTTCTATTTATTTATCGAATAGGGTTTCTTAACAAATTGTATATTGCCAATATTTAAAAAAAAAGTTCTGTCGAAATGATCTCTTGTTTGTTTTTCGACGGATATTACCAGTTTTCTAGCGAATTCAAATGAGGAATACGGCGCAGTGTGTTCAATACTAATTGTTAGAGTTAAGAGTTGGTCGTCGATACAAAATTACATATTTCTGTATACTTTGGCTCGACACAAACTGGTTAGAAGCGGTTAGTACTGGTTTTTTGCAGTGAAACGCATAATATGCTGTAATTCCTTGTGTGTTTGTATTTAAACGCGGTAAAACTTCATTTCGAACAAGTCTTTATATTATTTATTTAATATTTAAAGTGAAAAAATATAAAAAATGATGTTACTATTTCATTCGTTGAGAGCGAGTCTTGTTTGGTATAAAATGTTCTTGCATGTCCATTCCTGATTGGAAATCTTGAAATATAATGAAAAGTACATAATTTTATTTTATTGATTGTGTTAATAAATCATTGTTAAAGCGGTATTGTAACATCAAATAGGCGTTTCTGTATTTGGGGAATGTTGTAACTGTAAAATTATTTAACTTATAGAAATGAAATATTAAATTAATTAAATCAAAACAAAAAAAATTGCAAAAATCTTATAATAAATAGACTAGAAATTTTCAGTCTCAATTTTAATGAGCAACTGATTTGAATAGCTTCGATTCTTAAAAAATATGAAATTGTATATTTTCCCGTAAATGACATATCGTCACAGCGACGACGCTATTACGTAGTTTTCCCGCCAAATACAGAACAATGAAATAACTAAGCCTTTCCGAATGATTTATGAAATTGAAGTCATAATTTTTAATTATTTGACGATTATTATGAAAAAGTTAATTATTTGGGAGCGATGCAATTTTTTTTATACATATTATATATAAGTTATTCCGCACAAATCGAAATTCCTTTGATTTCATGAAAATGCATCGTCTTGAATTTAATTTTTATTTTTATACTGAAAGTACTTCATATCTTTTTTGTTTTGTAAAATATAATTTTCTCGTATATTTAAGGTCGTTAATTAAGAAAACATATTAAATAATAATAATTAAATGTGATTTATTAATAATGCCTACGTTATCTTTAGGATTGGCTATTATTATTTCCCACTAAAAGTGTATGAGATTAGTATTGTTTTTGTTTTCTATTATTGTCCGTCTTAGATGAACGTAGATTAAATTCTCGCTAATGTAATAAATAAATATCCCTTTATATTGCTCATATCATTCATACATCGATGTATTTTAGAAATATGTGTAACCTCCTTTTAGTTATTAGTATTTTTCTTATAGTGCAATACCATCACATTGATAAAAAACTTTCTTTAAAAAAATATGAACAAATGTTTTCGTTTATATTTTTGTAAAATTTCGGTATTACAATGTATTATTTCGGTATACTCAATTTTTATGTATAAAGAATTATTTTTGCGTGATTTTTTTCTAAGCTGAATAAAAAATGACAGTATTTTTTGCAATTTTTTTCTAATGTGTAGATTACTGTGGAAATATTCATTAACCTGCTGTTGTATTATTGGTTTAGACCTGCCAGGCTTGACTCTGCACTGAAAGCTAAATGCAAACTATATCTTCAAATTACATAAAATAATAGGACACGCTTTTCCTTTAAAATATTACTATTAAACTTAATAAATTAAATTCAATGAAATCTTGTGAGTTTCTAGTTATTTTCTCCAATAGAAAAATATTTTCTTTTCATTACATTTTAGTCACATAATAATATTTTAAAGTGAAAAGAATATCTAGATCATAACTCAAAAGTCTGCTAATATTTTTAACTAAACTTATAAGGTTTTAAATTCACGATATCATCATAAAAAAATAAAACGCCATCATTTGACAGTTCTGGACGAAAATCAAGATGGCGGACTTTTTTTGTGGAAATATTGCGAATTTATTTATCTCAATTTTGAGTAGTGATTTTACTATTTATTTAATTAGTAGTAAGCCTGGCTTTATTTCAATGAGCGCATTACTGTACCATAGACGCTGCAAGCGTTAAATATTTGTAAAACATAATTGATGTTTAGAGTTTTGTAAAAATATTATTTAAATAGGAAAGAAATAAAAAGAACGTTTAAAATAAATGGTGTCGTTTCATTTGTTTTTCTGGTACTATCCTTACTTCCTTACTAATATTATAAATTGGAAAGTGAGTTAGTTTGTTTGTTTGTTCTGCTTTCACGCCGTAACTACTAAACCGATTGCTTTGAATTTTTGCAGACGTAAAGTTAGAAGTCTGGATTAAATAATAGGGTACTTTTTATCCTGAAAAAATTTGATATTCCCGAGGGAAAACAAAAGTATTGGTATAGATGGCGCTATGTGTCTTGGTATATGTCACATAGGCTACTTTTAATCCTTTTGAGACGCGAGCGAAGCCGCGGGTAAAAGCTAGTAATGTAATATACACAGCGTGACTTGTAACTCGACATATTCCTCTCGGGAGGTGATGAAAGACTTTGGAAGTCCACTTCTGTCTGTGAATGTACACTTGTGAACACAATAATGACATGTGACAAAAATCAAATGCGATTTGTTATACCCAAGGAATATCACACCCTTATCCCCGTCAGAGCACTTCATTTCTCGCCTCAAATGCATACAACCCCATCTTATACAAAAACAGCCAGTCGCATTCCATTCACATTCCCGTACACTCGTGGGTCACACTCGAAATTATATTAGGTACCTATTAATTTGTGAAGTGTTTCCAAAACGGTGTTGTCGACTATACTGCCAGTGTCGTGTGGTGATAAAGATACTTAAATAAAAAATAACTAAAAATAAAAACCTTGCCATTTTTGACTCATCAATTGCTATTAAAGAGTATATTTATATAGTTATATCCCCTGCTCATGATAACTAATAAAAATATCTTCTTTATTCTATAAATAAAAGTACCTACTGAGCCTGAAAAAAACGAATTAAATGTCGATGAATGAGCTTAGACCTTTTTTGCTATCAATATATTCTTTTTTTTATATAGTATAAGCCGGTAAATGAGCAGACGGATTACCTGATGGTAAGCAATCGGCACTCGAAACACCAAGGCGTTACAAGTGCGTTACGGGCCTTTTGGGAATTGGGAATTTGAGAATTGTGGAGGATTTGGGGATTCGGGAGAGAGGGAGTGGGCTAATTGGGTCTCCGGTAACCTCACTCACACGAAACACGACGCAAGCGTTGTTTCACGTCGGTTTTATTCGTTAGTAACCTATAAAAGATTTATCCTGACAGAAAATTTAAACACGTTGGCCGAGTGGCCTGCCTCGTTGGCCGAGTGGTCGTAAGTGCGACTGCCGGGCAAGGGGTCTCGGGTTCGATTCCCGGGTCGGGCAAAGTATTACTGGGTTTTTAAATATTCTCAGTAGTAGCACGGAGTCTGGAATTGTGCCCGGTATATGGCAATAGGCTCACCCCCTATTACATGGGACTCGTAACATATATAGTGAAAAGTGGGTGTTACATTGTACAGTGGTTTAATGTGCGCCTCTGCCTACCCCTTCGGGGATGAAAGGCGTGATGTTATGTTGTTTATGTTGTTAAAATTTAAACAATATCTTCTTTTGCTCGACCGACAGTGCCGCTTTCTGCCTTTGTCAAGCAATAAAATAGCAAACACTCCACGGGAAGTAAATGGGAATGCCTCGGATCACATGTTTATAGACAATTACATGTGATCTGAGGCATTTCTTATTTTACTTCCCTACTACTACATGAGTAATCTACTACCTATATAACAATAAGTCGGGTTTTCCTTCCTGACGCTATAACTCCAGAACGCACGAACCGATTTCCACGGTTTTGCATTCATTGGAAAGGTCTCGAGCTCCGTGAGGTTTATAAAATACTAGCTTTTACCTGCGGCTTCGCTCGCGTCACAAAAGGATAAAAAGTAGCCTATGTGACATATACCAATACACACAGCGCCATCTATACCAATAATTTCGTTTTCCCTCGAGAATATCAAATTTTTCCGGTATAAAAAGTACCCTATTATTTAATCCAGACTTCTAACTTCACGTCTTCAAAATTTCAAAGCAATCGGTTTATTAGTTACGGCGTGAAAGTGGAACAAACAAACAAACTCACTTTCCGATTTATGGTAGTAAGGATAAGGATATACAAAAAAAATTTTTTCTTCATATTTTAATCACCAAACGAAATGTTAGAAACGTAAAACGAAGCCATCTGGTGGCGAAACGGAGTTCGCCAGGTTTGCTAGTATACTATAAGAATGGCGCAGTCATCGACGTGTCTGTGACTAACAACACGATACAAGCTGTCAAAGTCCGTTCACGAACATTTTTTTGCGAGCCCTAGCACCGCCCAACTCAACCATTTTGTAGGGAATCGAGCGATCCAATGCACGTGCCACCGCCAACGAGATCTTTGAGTGAGCATGACAACTCCAAGCTGACATAAATGCAATATATAGCTAATCCTTACTAATATTATAAATCTGAAAGGGAGTTTGTTTGTTTGTTTGTTTGTTTGTTCCACCTTCACGCCGTAACTACTCAACCGATTGCTTTGAATTTTTGCAGACGTAAAGTTAGAAGTCCGGATTAAATAATAGGGTACTTTTTAACCCGGAAAAAATTGATATTCCCGAGGTAAAACAAAAGTATTGGTATAGATGGCGCTGTGTGTACATAGGCTACTTTTTATTCTTTTGTGACGTGAGTGAAGCCGCGGGTAAAAGCTAGTGTAATATATAGCTATATTTTTCGCACTCACGTATTTATTAACATCAATAACACTTACTACCTGCGGCCTTATAGTGCAAGTTTGTTTCACGTTTAAAGTAAACGAAACGAGACGGCGTTTGGTTGGTTCATTAGAGCCGGCCAATCGCAGCGCCGAACGCGTACTCGTTACGATTACTTTAATTAAACGTAAAAGAAACTAAGCCCTCAGTTCCCATTCCACTCAGTTATCGTCGTTTTCGGTCGGCAACGGACGATTCGTGACGTCAATGTTAAAAATATTTTTTTATTATTAATTTTATTAAGCTAGTTCAAGATCATAGTGAAGACAGTATTTCTTAAACTTTATCAAGCCATATTACTGGAGTCGGCTCAATTGCTTGGACAACAGACACAAAGTTGGCATCTAAACGTAAGCTGTTCTACTAATTGGCGCTGTCTACAAGGAAAAAGGTCGGTTTTGTTGTGAGAAAAATGAATGTAAACAGTTTCTGAACATACATAGTTTGTTTTTAAGTACCTAAATAATAGTATTTACATATGATTAACAATATAACTTAATGGCGTAAGCTGTAGTGTTTTTTTTTAATAAATAATAAATTGAATTTCTCCACGGACTCGTGTCCGTGCCCTTGTCATGTTACAAATACATAATTGTCATGGTCAAATATTTTTTTTTTTATAAATATCTTACATGCTACGCCTACCACTATCACTACACACAATACTTTATGTTGTTACCTAATTATTATAGTCTTATTATCTTAGACTAACCCTACTGAATCAGCCCACCAGCACGATGAACGAGCCGACCTGTTCACGGGTATGACGTGTAGGCCAGCAATCGGTCCGATCAACCATTTCGTAGGGAACGGAACGACCCAGCCCACAGCGCCACCGACTGTAGAACATTTACGAATGCATGACGTCCCCGTACACGTGGCAGTAAGCCAATTGCAGTAGTGCTAGTGGTTTTTGTTAGTCTTATTAATAAACTTATATTATTTTACATTTATTACATTATTAATAGATACAATTTTTAGCGAACACACCAAAACATGTAAACAACAGCTCTAATCCATGAATATTTTTATTTTTTTTTGATATCTGGACCTTTTCAGCAGTTGTGCAGCATTACGAACCGTCCCCACCCAGAAGGGCGCCCAAGCTGTAGTGTTATATATGTAGGTTTTCAAAATAAATAAATAAATAATTGCCGTCTGATAACCGAATAATAGTTTGTAGATATGTCGGTGCCGTCCTAGATACTTTGCATTTTTATCTATTAAATGTAACGATTTATTTTCAGATGAGTAAACAGAAAGAGTTTAAGTTTCATGTGGTTGAGTTAATGGAACCTCCATCCATAAACCCTGAAAAATACATTTGCGTACCGAATTCTTGGATAAGGTTACGTGAAACATCAGATGGTCCAGCTCTTGTCAAATTTCCCGTTGAAGACCTATCAGAAACAAAGAAACGTGTGGTTTTTTTGGCTAATGTAAAATACAGCACAAGTAAGTTTTAGGGGTGACCGAATAATTCGAACTTACGAATTAATCGTTTCGAATCAAATATTAATATTCGATTCGAAACTATAATCAAATTATTCGAAAGTTCTCGAATAATTCAAAAACGGAGATTTTGCGTTATCGTGAACTAACTTTATGTTTTTAAGATGCGGCCATTGATAATTTTCAACTTTAACGATAGAGAGAGTCGCTATTAACTTTGTTAAGACATGAGCAGTCAACTTGCAAATGAGCAATCACCTCTAAAATGCTCCGGTGAGACTTTGCGAGATTTATCGATTAATCGAAAAATGTAGGTCTAGATAGCGCCTAAAGATGGGTTGATAGATAGCACCACTGCAAAGAAATTATTCAGGGTTTCACAGCAGCGGCTCATAGAAGGCACCACTATCTCTGAATTTTGATGAGTTTCTGTTTTAATTTATAATTTATAAAAAAATATTTTGTCTTACAGATTCATTTACCGACGCAAGAAACTATATCAAGATACTGAATAAAATATTTGATCAAGAGCAGAGCAGCACGAAAATGGTCGAAGGTATCTATTGTTATCTCATTTTTCTAAATTCATTTCTTTATATACATTTTTACGAAATGTTCATATGCTTAATATATCTATTACCATTTAAATTTTTACGAAACATGCTTTATTTCTTTTCTTTTTTAAATGTTTAATTTTGTTATAACCAAGGTTCTTAAAGTTCTATTTAAAAGTCTTTAATTTTATGTTCCCTAAAATAAGAATGTTAATTTCGTTAGTAGTAGTTTCTTTTTTAGTAACTAAAACTATTGTTCTCGTTCATTTTTATATTTATTGTTTTTTTTCTATCACTTAAGTAATTAAATGTTGGTTAACCTGTAATTGGCGACTGTATAAGCCTAAATACTTAATGTTACTTTCATATCACTTAATGCTATGTATACAGAAGCTGTTGGTATACCTATTTAAATAAATAAATAAATATTGTTTTGTTGACATTTGAAAGTACCTATTTCTATTAATTAGGTCACTAATAGTTAAAAATTGCATTCCAGATGTAAATCCAAAGAGTGATGCGGATCCAGTGAGTGAACAAATACCAATGCAACTAGACTTGAGTAAGGCCGGGGGAATAATATGCCGCAAGAAAAGTCAAGTTGAAACCACCGATTCTCCTCCCCCCAATGCCAAAAGATATTTTACAAGACAGTCACTCAGAACACCTTCATCAAGTAATAATAATAATACCGTTAGTTTGCCAGATGAAACTACGAAAAAGGATCTTCCGTCAACTAGCCATTGTGTTGAAAATAGCGATAAGACTAACAACAATCAAGAAAACGAACAATCAGCAAATAATACATCAGAGCTAATGAGAAAATGGCAAATTATAACAGCCTTTCGGGCAATGTTTGGTGATAACTTCAAAGAAATGTTGGAACAACTTCATAGTAAGTATGAACACAACCAATTAGTGTTGGAGAAAATGCAGCTTGCATTTAAGGAAAATTGTAGGATCATAAAAACGTTTATTGAGCTAACGGATGAAGCCAAGAATGCTCTTTCTAATAGTGATCTTGATTCTGCAGTGAAAGAATTAGAAAATAGTATGATGGAAGTAAATATAAATGAAAGCAAATCAGATAAACCAACCGGATCTAAAGTACAAAAGGACACTCGAAAAGAAGAAAAGAAACACAGCATTGACAATACAGAAGCTAAAAAGAATAATCCACTGAATAAGATCCGTGGCCAATCGCGTAAATTTACTTTACCACCAGAGTACGACCCGAATGACTCAAGATGGACCTTAAAGCATCGGGAAATGAAAAGAGGTCTCGTTGAACTCCTACCATATTCACGGATATACATTGACGCCGTTCAATTAAGCAATTGTAAAATAACCTCGAAAGACAGCAAGACTCTTACACGAGCGTTATTACTAGAAATTTTTACCGAGAATGCATTGAGTGTATGTTCTCCAACTGGAAAAAAAGCCAATGCATTTGAGTTAGAGGGAACAAGTGTAAGGCCTGGTCTAGATCAACATGCAAGAACTGTTTTATTGAACTACGTTAAAAAACATGCGGCTGAAAAAAATTGGGTTGAAGTTGATTCGCAACTGATTTCAAACACTATTCGTAACAAAATGCAAGATATAAGAGGTAAACATCAAAATATTGTCGAAAAATAATTTGACTGTTGTTATTATTCGTGTTATCAAAGTATGCGTATATAATGATATGGTTAATGAGTTTTATTTTTCCTCCTTACTTTCCCACCTATCTATGAAAATATATAAATACTAGCTTTTACCCGCGGCTTTGCTCGCGTCACAAAATAATAAAAAGTAGCCTATGTGACATATACCAATACACACAGCGCCATCTATACCAATACTTTTGTTTTCCCTTGGAAATATCAATTTTTCCCGGGATAAAAAGTACCCTATTATTTAATCCGGACTTCTAACTTTACGTCTGCAAAAATTCAAAGCAATCGGTTGAGTAGTTACGGCGTGAAGGTGGAACAAACAAACAAACAAACAAACTCACTTTCAGATTTATAATATTAGTAAGGATAAGGATAATATATCCTGGTAATAGTTAAATAGACTGATAGTGAACGAAAGGAAAATCAAGCTCTAAAAAATGATGTCCTGTAAATCGTATATGAATGTAAATTTACTACAGTGAATGTTTAAACATCGTAAATGGTATCGGACGTTTATCTATACTACAACATTTAAGCACATAAGTAGACGAAGGTCAATACTAACATCTGCAAAACGTCAATTGATTACGTTCTATTTGTATCAGTAGACATAACTAAACTCGTTATACAAAAATGTGTCATATACACAGATAAATGTTACTATGAATGTATTGCTAGTACCCTGTGCTATTACCTAAAACCGATGATTGTATGTAATGTATGTATTAATATATGTATGTTTTAAATTTGCTTTCATTATGGTACTTGGTATTTTATTATAACATTTAAAACAATAACCCACTGTAGGATTTCTGTACTCTGGACAGTCTGAATTGCGGTACAGCTAACTTATTTTTGCCTGTCTATCGCTTCTTTTTTTCCTTATATACATTATATTTTCATATTGTATTGACAGGGCACCGTTAAGATATTTAACAATTCTCTCAGCGACTCGCAACGGCATAAGCTATGTATTGCTTGGATAGCTCACTTATGAAGTATAATAATTGATTCTATTTCTGCAGCTCGACACACAGCAAAATTCCGTACGACAATATAATGCTCTGAAAGTAACTAAAATAGACCAGCATTGGCGTATCCACGTCCGTGAGCTGTCTAATCTGTCTAACTGCAAAAGGCAGCTGAGCTCAATCTCCCCGAAAGCGCCTTTATATGCGGACCCCATTGTAGCCTATTGTCTAACGTAATGCCTAAAAATACCGTCTCGTCGACAAATTCTATATTTCGCCCGTTCAAAACCATATCACAATCTTTACTTCGGAAGCTTGGTAAACTAAATTTAATACATTTGGTTTTTTCTCATTAAGCGCTAACTTATAAATGGTGAACCAATTAGGCATTCGAAGAGTGGAGCTGTTTACGTCGTCGCCCGTCATAATGGGCTTACTATCTCTTACACTACAGGATGTGGCACCAAAGTGCTCCCTAAAAGCCTCCGCTATGCTTTTGTGATCAACATAACCACCTACACCTATCGGAAAGCTAGGCCGAACATTCAATTTTACCTTAAATGTCTCCTCACCTCCGCCATCTCATTAAATATTCGGCCATTGGCTGGATATCCAGCCGAGTTCCACAATTGAAATGTAAGCCACGATTCCCGATGTGAGATCGCTACATACTTATTCCACCCAATGACTTGACAAATCTAATAATCCTACTATTCTTCTTTCGCTAAGTAAACTGATTGAGTGAGTACTACGCCACTGATTAATTAATCTTTAGGTACAAAAAGATAGTAACGTAAAATACGTCATATTTGTTCCTTTTTTTAATATTTATTTAATAAGAAGGGCTTTTTCCTAAGAGGAAAACGTCAGCCCTGTTATAGGATATTAAATTCAGTACAATAAATAAAGCATTTGACTAGCATTTGGCGTAAACATAAAATAATTAAATTATATAATTTTCTAGCCTCAGATGATAATAGTGACGCTAAAACACTATGGTAAAAACCAATATTAAAGTTCTTAAAACTAAAGACCTGATTGATACCTTTGAAACTCAATATGCACAGTTGGTGCGGTGGCTGGGCACCCGGCTGCTGTGCAACATGTCGCGGGTTCGATTCCCGCACGGGACAACACTTTGTGTGATCCACAAATTGTTGTTTTGGGTTTGGGTGTCTTTGTGTATGTGAACTTGTATGTTTGTAAACGCACCCACGACACAGGAGAAAATCCTAGTGTGGGGCAACATTTTAAAAAAAAAGAAAAAAAGATACGACGTACGATGACGTATACTTGATTCGTAACTAAACATTTTTTTTTTAGTTAAACCTTTTAGCAAAACATCTTCTTTTAATTTCTTTATTTATTTTAGACAGAATGTGGTGGGGTGTAGCTGATATGGATATCATCACTAAAAATAATACGCATAATTCATGGATCCTAGAAATGATACCTATATTGTACAAAAAAAATCGCTTTAATTACTAGGAATCAATAACTTGATTTTTAATTTCACTCTTGTCAAGGGATTGCAAAAGTTACTAAGAAGAGAAATAAAAAAGCACAGGGCAAGAGGTCTCGGGTTCGATTCCCGGGTCGGGCAAAGTATTACTGGGTTTTTAAAAATCTCAGTAGTAGCACGGAGTCTGGAATTGTGCCCGGTATATGGCAATAGGCTCACCCCCTATTACATGGGACTCGTAACATAAAATGTGAAAAGTGGGTGTTACATTATACAGTGGCATAATGTACACCTCTGCCTAGAGACACGACCCAACTCGCCGGAAGCGTCATCTATTGAGTGCAAAAGTTACTAAAAAAAGGAATAGAAAAAAGTACAGGATGTTTTAGCTAAGTATGGGTGTTTTTAGTGTACAAAAAGGATAAAAAATAAAAACAAGACATACATTTATTAATAATGATTTTATCTTTGAATATCAATTACACTTTTTTGTTTTATTGTTATTTTATAAACTTTACATATTCATTTCGTATTTTATATACCATATAATATATAAAGTTTCATTACTAATTATTTTAGCATTACATTATCTAATACGAGGGGACACAAAACGAAAAAATACTGCATTTTTGTAAAGTAAACGTAAACGCCAGATCTTTTTGTAAATGTTAAACAATTTTTCGTTGTTTTTTTTTAAACCAGTACACAACACTTAATTTATTAACTAAAAGTTATGAAGAATAACATTTCAAAGTCACTCGATTTTTTTTTCAATATAAAGGAACTCTTTACTTTAACTCTTCTTTCACGTTTTTCACCCGTTTACTATACTTACTTCACAACCACATTACATATATTTTTTTTATATAAAAAAAGGTTTAAAAAGATTCATTACTAGTTCAAAAGTAACTTCTAAATTGAGCAAAGTTTGAAGTGACAATAAAACGTTATTCGTCAACAATTATATTTCAATTTTTGCGTTTTACAAATTCTTTAAAGTCGTCTTTTCGCGACTACATTGACGTTTCCTTAATTCATGATTTGTCCAATTTAATAATTAAATTATCAACAACAATAATGCTTAAATAAATATTAAATGAAACATTCTAAAACATGGCTAACTTAAATGGCGATCACCACTCAACTCGAGTTTTTTTCATTGTATCTAAATACAATAATACATCGCAGAAAAATACAAATAAAAAAACAACAACTGTATCTGTACATCATTTTTACAATATTAAATATAATTAAAACTATGTTTTAAATATACATTTTCAATGAACTGTCACAAACATTTCTTGGATAAAAAAATGGGTTTACCTAACGTGAATAATCAGCAATAGCTTAAAATATAGCTTAGCTTAAGTTTAGGTCATCTGATGGGAGAACATGACTTAGAATTCATATATTTCAAGTCACGATTAGGTATTTTTCTACTTCATAAGTCTAAAAGACGACATAGAAGTCGATTACCCAATAAATCTTCTTGATGTTTTAAAAATAAGCTAAGCTATAAAAATCAAAATCTACACACAGGTATATCATACAAAGAAGATTTTGATACGAAAAAAAGACATAATTCCATTTTACCAACTAAACTAATCTAGCTCTTTTTGAGTATCTTGCAGCTTTGGCATACACCTTCATTAAAGGTTAATTCAAACACAATTCTGCTCTACAACATTTAAAAATCAAAATTTAATGTTACCTCCGAACATTTTACGTTCATTTCTAACTCGACAGAAAGCTCACTGTCCCTTTCTCATATAGTATGCTAGTAAGAGATAGCAATACTCCCTATTTTAGGACAAGAGGACCAGTATTTTTAACACCAAGAAAAGTTAAAGATGGATTTTTGAACGAAAATAAAAGTAAATTACCATGATACCCTGTAATTTCATGCCTATAACGTAACTAAATGCACATCAGGTAGGCAGTAACGAAATGTAATGGCACTACTACGAGTGAACATAATAAACATCTATCTTAAACTATCTTACAGTAATTAAAGCATTCATGTGATTCCACACACTTTTAATTTCAAATATATATATATATATAGATATATAATAAATCTATTTTTTTATATCTTCTAAGTGTATATTTATATATTATGGCAAATCTAACAACACTAAATGAAAAACTCCAGAATATTCTTATTTAACATCACATAAAGTTTTTACAAACAAAATACAGTTTTTTTTCTTTTAAATTCATGTACATCTACGCGAAACGTTATATATTTTCGTATTTTTTTAATTTAAAGGGCGGATGTACACAAATACCTACGTTTTATAATATTTACAAACATTTTAAGCGACTACAGTGTCTATCCTAGGAATGAGAAAGGGACCATTCGTGATTTTTTTCTTGTATACTTTATACTGAAAATAAAATCATATACACACTGGAAAAAATGTATACAAATCTTCCTGACATTTTTTGTTGTGTATAATTGTAAAAAAAAACTACGAAAGGTCCTGATTTTTTTAACAAAAGTATACAGAACGGTATAATTCGTTTCCATGACCTTATTATATAAGATTTAGACGTATAAGAAGCAATATAATTTCGCCTGTGCGTTTGATTTCCAAAATATGTTGTTTGACAAATCATTTGTAGAAATGTAGACATTTGTATTTCAAACATTTGAGCAAATGTTTCGCATGATGTAAACTTGTTTAAAATTCGGTATAAAATTGGGTCTAATTCATTAACATTTACACAAATATTTGAGACCAAATGCACGAATGTTTGGCGAAAATAAATGTATAAAATACAAAAATTGTATCAGGTAAAAAAATAGCCACAAAGCCCAGTTTATTTACAAAGTTCCATTTTAAAATTACACAACTGATTTTCATTTAAAATATCTAAGTAGAAAAACTAAGTGACTTAATTCCATCTAGGTAATATTTTCTTTGCAAAACATTGAGCTAATTGAGCAACAATAAACTATGACTATAAGCAACAAGGAAGCCATATTGTTCAAATAAAGTACTATCCGTAACGAAAATAAAAACATTTTGTACATATACGATAAAAATACAAAAATTTCAAAATAAATATTTTATTTTATATCTTCTTCCATCACAAAGTCTATTATTATTTAAAAATATTTACAACTAGTAATATGTAACATTTCACTGAGTGTCTCGGTGGCACAGTTCACACAACCGTCACTGGAGATCTAACAACTAATCTCGGAGTCGCCGACGTACTCGGCGTTACTACCCTGTTTGTTGACTATGTTCCTGTCGTCGAGCTTCTTGCTGGCCTGGTTGCTGCTGGAGCTGGAGGACGCGTTGTCGCTGTCCGCGTACGGCACGTCCGTCATCGGCCCGTTCAGCAAGCTCGCCGCCGAGTTGGATTGTTTCAACTTCCCCTTCTCCTCTTTCGGCTCGGTTTCCTTTGGCAAGTCGTCTATCACCGCCTTCTTAGGATCAATTTGTATAGTCTTTGATTCTGAGAGCTTGTTCGGTGTGACGACGTTTATGTATGGCGGCAAAATGTTCATCGTCGTCAAGTTGACGGATCCACTATTTTTCTTTAACGCATTTAGGTTTTGCTCTAGTTGGGCCGCGTCCAAGCAAAGTGGTTTTGGTTTGGGCGTGAATTTTGGCGCTTCTTTGGCCCATGCGTTAATGCGTGGTGGGTCTGGTGACGCTATTGGTGCAGTCTTCCTTTCTGGCATCAATGCGTTCTTGTGATTAGTTTTGTCAATAACGTTTGTCTCTATGGCTTTTGATAAAGCATTCTCAGGTGGTTTTGGAGAGGTCGGGGTTATGCTTATTAGTTTCTCGACCTGAAGAAAATAATGGAAAGGAAAATTAAGGTAATACATAGAATGAACCTAATAGTCCAGTAAAATAAGGATGTGTACTCACGGCTGGTCCGTTGTCGATACTCTGTCGCGGCGTAGCGTTGCGTGGTGGCTCGGTGAACGATGTCTCCCATATGACCGGCTTGTCGTCAGCGTCCGGTGTTATCTCGTCCAGTGACGGGCCCTCTACTGAACTTAGCAATCTGTAAATTTTAACAGGTGTATGGTGTAAGGTGTATAAACGGTGGAAAATCACGTTGGAACCTTCTACCATTCACTATAATAGTCTACCTCTATAAGCTACATTAATTTTTAATTCAGGAATCAATTTTAAGATCACTTTTATCGTTATTTCCTTACCTATCTGTTGAATTAGACGGCAGAAACTTTGTTGTGGTCTTTATCTCGACGGCGGAGGTAGCGGAGGCATCGCGCCTTGTTGCGCTTGCGGCGCTCCGGGACGCCATTGGAATGTTGCCATATTCTTGTGATGCTATAACACAATATAATATTATTGGAATAATGATCCTGCTTCATCGTAAATAACCCTAAGTCGAATTTTTTGATCTCAAGATCCTTGAATCGGTGAAGTATTAGGTACAGTTCAATTGTCTTTTCATTAGTGTTAGTTGTCTGTTGCGCTTTTGTGAGACACTCAATAAGGACTGATGATGAGAAGTCTTAATATTCCTTCTCCACTCGCAAGTCAAATCGGCAACAGGAAACCCAGTGTCAGACTGCGCCAGACAATCTACAAACAGAGAGAGATGGCGGGAGATCGTGAGGAAAGCACTATCGGCCTCCAACACAAATACGGCCGCCTCAACATGGCCACGACCGCTCTGCCATGAGTGAAACGATAAAGAAGAAGAAGAATAATAATTCCCAAAAGGCTGTCGACTGACTCGTCTCTCTTCTGGTGTTGCTGGTGTCTTTGTTTTTGTTTACCATCAGTTGATCTGTCTATTAGTTGGGCATCCTCCATAAAACTCCCAATCCCATATTCAGATAATCGGCTAGAACAGTAGGCATTCTATAGTACATTCTTTTATTACCTATCTTCTATCTCTCTCCCTCTCCAATGTCCACCTGTGTAGATTAGGCAAACAAGGGTTTGTGGACAGTGCAAATATCATTTCAGACTCTTATAAATACACGATGCTTTAAAAATAAGGGTCGTTCCAGGTTCATTCATCAAGGATGCACTTTACATGATGAAGGGATTTTCATACTGGAATTATCAGTCAATGGTTACCTTTAGAACCTTGATTGTTGTATTTGTTAGATGTAACTCTTACCTAGTGAGAGATTCGCTAAATACTGAGTGATTTGTTCCAATGTGGTACAGTTTTTTATTGCTAGTATTATGAAGGAACCATCTTGGGCATCAATTAGAGAAATCTTAAAATCAATAGAGGCCTAAAATCTAGAGGATAAGATAGAAATACTGATAAGAAAAGTTAAATTGTCTTCTGAATTAATGCCAGAACAAATAACCGATGACATAAGTTACGTTAATCAATTTAATATTATTGAACGAATCTATAATGAAACATCTTTCTTGGACTATGATATTTAGCGAATCTCCCAAATCAATGACAGGACATGAATACCTTTCAGAAGAGGTGGATATTGTGAATCCTCCGTTTCTGGCTGATCCTGTACCACCGTTTGCGATTTGCTATGAGGGACCAGCGGTTCCGTTGGGCTAAAACAATGTTCTTGCATTGGTATGGTTGAAGGATGACACGGGTCACAATGACTGTGCAAAGGAGAAGCTTGTTTTTGTGAGTGATTTGCCCGTTGCTTCGATTTAAAAGTCAAAGTCTAAATAATTAAACTTCAATTAGATCAGAAAGGCACTTTTGAACGCCAACAAAATTTACTTTCAGCCCTTTGTAGTACCGTCATTATAGACACAATTAAAGAACAATAGGTTGCGGTCACCGGTGTCCTCGCGGTGTTTGACAGTATATCTGTATATATTATCTCCTGATTTATGTTTGACAACTTTTTTGTATCTATTAAATAATTGAGTTTTCATTTTGCATGTTTACTGTCAATGAGTTGCTAAAAGCAACAACTAACCGCTAACGTCGCTTTGGTTAACATTAACCTGCAACAAGTTTGTGTCGGCAGTTAAAAGTTCTGAATAAAGATGTATTTTTCTGCATTATCCTTCTGTAAACCATTATGTTTATATAATCTGCACATATTCTTAAGTCATATCCATTAAAATATGAAAAATGTTTGTGAATCTCTTTAAAAAGTCCAGTTTTTCATGTCGAAGCAACAAGCTTTAAACAAACGGATAAATAATGGAAAACATTAAGAACATTTTAGCAAGTTGACATTTAAATGAGACTGTATTATTTGATTGTGTTTTAAAGTCGCTGTATAATTAGAAACATTGGCTGGTAAGGAACGTTCAGCGTCTAACACATGCTGCCACTGCTTCGCCTTTCTAAAGCAGTTTTATACTTTTTTACTTCATTTATAACGAAATTTTCTCAAAAACTTCTGTGAAAACTAAAAAAAATGCCATATTTAATCACAATTTCATTCAAAATGTTCAAAATTAAAGTTGAAATGACGGCCATTTTGCTAAAAAAGTTCGTTAGAAAATTGCTGAGAAAATTTCGATATTCAAAAGTAATTTGACAGTTGTAAAGTATATTCAGTTACTATACAACATCGAAGTGTGAAAGGAAGTGCCACATACAGTTAAGATTTAGAAGTAGCTTGTAATTAGTATTTGAGGACACTGGCAGGTTTGAAAACTCAGATCTAGAGAGATAGACACTAAAGTTTTACAATACCAATCAGTTTTCCAAACTGTTTATATACATATACAGTAATATTTTACACATTTTGTATATTGTAGTAATTTTTTGCTTTGTAGCTAATAGTAAAAAATTTCAATGTGACAACAATTTTCTTGATAAAATTGTGAATTATTTTTATTTTTTTGTCACAGTATTTTCATAAGCGTGCACTTATTGTATCCCATATTGTTTTGTTTTTTTGGCTACACCAAAGGTAATTTTTTCATATTTCGACATATTTTTTTGTTTTTTTTTTATTAATAAGTACGGTTAGTCCTGCCAGCAGCCTCAGCAATGAAAAGGCGTTACCTATTGTTGGTCGTTGGGTTGTCCTGCGGCGACATCGGCACGAGGTAGTCGCACGCCGGCCCTCGCTGCCAACATGCCACGCTCAGTACACACGACCACAGGGAGATCTTTACTCTTATACCAGCTTTCCGATATTTTTTATTCGATTACAAAAATGTGATTTAATTTCTGTTTGTATGCCTAACCCTGATATATCCACGACTGGACGTTCTTTTTCGGATTGTTGCTTTCTGACATATTTTGGATCTGGTAACATGTTGTAGCTACAAAAGACTTGGCAAAAGTAAGATATTTTAATGTAGTGTGTGTGTATGGTTTTAAAATTTATTTTCCAGTTAAACTTGGTCTTTTGCGCCTGTCTGGCTGTTCGAGAACTTTAATTATTGGTTTTATCTTACCACTTTTCCTCTGATTTCACAAAATAAACCTGATGAAACCACCCAGAAAGGACGCTAAGTAGAAAAATTCAGAAAAAATCCTATAAAAAAAATATCGGAACAGCTTTTTACTAACAATCAATTTATAATCAAACACAATCTCCCTGTGTTTCACTTTAAATACTACGCGTGCATACCACTGGGTTTTGTAAAAAAATAAATTTTAACCAACGAAAATTGGATTCTATTTTTTTACTTCTAAGTTACATTTTACAAAACCCAGAAGCAGGGACAAAGGTAATAAAAGAAAATAGATTAGGTAATAGTTTCCCGCTATAGCTACTAGGCAAGTAAACACTCAAGTCTCTTAATAACCGTTAAAAGAGATTCTTTGAAATGCAAGCTGTCATGGCGGATGTCAAAATTAGAAAAAATTTAACAATGATTTTTTTAGGAAAACATGCGATTAGTAAATGATATTTCTTTCACATTCCAATGAATCTCCTTCTTACTACAAGGGGTCTAGTTTTCTACGCGACTTTCATTCAAGGAGGGGGAGGGTTATCGTATAAAATAAAAAATAATAATTTGAGGTTATCATGCGAACTCTTAAGCACGGGCTCTTATTGGACCGCTAACACCGAATTAAAAAATAAAAATAATAATGTTTTAATTTATAATTAATAATAAAAAAATCCATTTACTTGCTTCTAGTAGCCAGAGCGAAAACATTTGGAAAAAGAGAAAAATTTGGTTACGCATTAGTATTTTTGTATTTTATTTATTATAGTCTTGTTTTTTTAAATATTAATTGGACTGTACACTCGAATAAAAGGGACACTTTATTATAATTATTTTCATTAAAATTTATAACTAAAAAGAGGCGTTGTTCCTTGAAAAAAGAAAATGGAAAAATCACGTGGTCATGGCATCTAAGAATTCTAAGTTATAATTACATATAATATGTGAAAAAAAAATATTTATTTAACCTGGAATTTAAGTCAACAAAATACAATCTAAGTGGGGTTTAATCTACAAGTGTATGGTGTCATGAAACTACTGAAAGATTTTTTCACTAGAAAACGATTTTACTGCGAAAAAAAAACAAAATAATTTTCGTCTAAATATTTACAAAATATAAACGACCACGTCACGGCTAACATTTAAAAACTACTCGCATATTTTACAAGTGTACAATTTCATTAAATTGATTTTAAAAAAAAATCCAATATTTATTTTTTTTATTTTAGGCCAATTCTTTTTCATTTTCACAAAATCGATTGTTTTCTCATCTCATCACTACGGGGAACAACGCCTCTCGATATAATCGATACCTAAAATCATAATCGATTACTCACCTGCGGTCCATTGGCATTGGTTGGTAAGTCAGAGCACGGTGGCAATAGAGACCGTACTATTGGTAGCGGCGCACTTACTATCGCTGGGTCCTAGAGAAAATGGAAAAACATTAAAATGCCCGCCATTTTATTTTCTTTTTTTGTTGCTGAGAAAATGGCGGAAAAGTGTTTAAGTACCAAAATTAATCGTGAAGGAATATTTTGAGTAAAAAGTAGATGAGAAACAGTATTTAAATAAGTAGTTATTGGTTTTTTGAAGGTGTTATTAACTGCTATATACATAAAATGAAGTTGCCAGGCTTTTATTAATGGGACCAGCCCGGCAAAAAAACTCCTGTAAGCCAGAATCTACAGTAGATACAACCATGAAAACACCGGAACACTAAAGTCCGGCGCGTCCCAGGGACATGAGTAACTGTCTTGGTTGCCGCAACGAAGTGAATCAGAAGATATTATAAGAAGAGAAGAAAAAAGCGATAGGCCCTCGGTGAATTACTGCAGGAGACAGAATGAATTAAGCCTAATGGCACAAAAAGAGACTGTACAACTGGGTGAAGCCCAGTCGCCAAGCACCACGGAATATTGACTAAAACTAAGTAAAATTATGAATTTGTAAAACATAGGTATTATATTCATTTATTTAAATAAAAAACTTAAATTAAAAACTAACTATTACATAAAAAAATAAAACTAAATATTACTAAATTAAATACCTATATACAACTAAAATTAATTAAAATCAATTATAAGAAAAAACAAAAACAACTATTTACATAAAGCGTCGAAAAATTCCGCATCGACGTCAGTGGGGAAAGTACCCAGAAGGCTGGCAGCATTGCCACGTTGTATGGCAATGCTTAACCTCTGACCGAGAAAAAGACCAGCCCTCTGGTCACGAGATGTGTCAACCAGGCGTTTTGAAATGTTTTTGAATAATTTAAGTTCACTCGGACCCCACGGACCTAGCGTCTCAACCCCAAACGGCTCAAAGATATAACTACCAGCAAGGTTGTTATACATTATTATTATTATGTATTATTGTTCCTTAATGTCCACTACAGTGTACCCCGTACCTGCACGAACCGTTGCATGCGCTCGTACATGTGCGCGAAGGAGGGTCGCTCGCCCGGCGTCGGGTTCCAACACTCGCACATCAGCCTGTATATCTCTTGTGGACACCCTGTGTACAAAATATTATACATGTTATATTTATAGTTAAATTTTTTTTAGGGGGGAAAATCATCGAATGACTGCTCCCGCCTGGGTGAGGCGAGAGGGAGTGTCAGATTCTTACTGACTCAAAACCACCCCGTTCCTACTGCTGCATTTCGAGCCGGAGCCCCGATAACCCGTTAGGTTCTCCACGACATTTATCGACATCCCCGGCTTCGCACAGGTGCAATATGCATGTATTATATCTACGTATAAACCTTTCTTAAGAATCACTCTATCTGTTAAAAAAACAGCATCAAAATCCGTTGCGTAGTTTTAAAGATCTAAGCATACATAGGGACAGGCAGACGGCGGATAGCGACTTTGTTTTATATATACTATGTAGTGATACAAACATGTACCATTAAACTTTATAAACTGTATAACAACGTATCACGGCTTTGCTTTGTTTACAAAAAGAAATGTCGCGTGACGTCACTTCTATACACTTTTTTTTTTTTTTTTTTTTTTTTTCTCTCTTTGGCAAACGAGTCTCCAAAGTGATCTTGTCGACTATACTGCCAGTGTCCAGTGATGACGGTAGTTTAATGAACCGTCGAAATTAACTTTATGGTAGTTTTTAGTTGTTAGTAGCTGAAAGGACAAAACATTTGGGTTAGTGAACATATAATTATTATCAACTATTTTACTGTATATATACAGAGGTGTAGAAAATAGTTGAGGGGACATACACAATACAAACAGAGAAGTATGTACATCATTTACATTATTGAACACCGTCATATCTTAATCCCATTTTCATTGATAAACTTACTTAAACAATGGATTAATTTATGGGAAAAGTGAGTAAAAAGGAGGTGGAAACTGATTGGAAGCGGGATTTGGATACTGGGGAGTTTTTGATAGAGGTCAAAGGATTGGGAGTTTAAGGGGCATGAAAAAAATATATGATCTAAAGTTCCCTCGTCAAGGCCGCATTCGCACAGTGAGCTGTCACGAACGCGGATCTTGTTGAGGAAGACCGGACTACTACAGTGGCCGAGTCTGAGCCTACACAAGGATGAAATAGTGTGACGGGTAAGCTTAGGGTACTTGGAAAACCAAGGCTTCCGTCGGATGCCCGGCTGGACACCCGCATAGTAGGATCCTTTATGCTTGGAAGATTCCACCCACACTGCAGTCCATGACTCAAACAGCTTGTGTTTGGTATCGGCACGTATGTCATATCCGTACACAACGTAGTGTTGACGTTCGACATCGTTCGAGGCCGCAAATTTGGCCAACGAATCCGCACACTCGTTACCACGTATGCCAGAGTGGCCAGGGATCCAAGCGATCTCGATATTTATGCCATCATTGTAACAGGAAAAAAGAAGCGCCTTTATCTCTACAACCAAACTGCTATGGGTTCGGGTGTGGAGCTGGTCTTGGTTGAGAGATTGTAGGCTACTTCGGGAGTCAGAGAAAATAATGGAATTCTTAAGGTTGTGCGCTCTAATAAATTTGACTGATTCCAGAATGCCAATGCATTCTCCCGTGAAGACAGATGTTTCCGGGGGGCACTTGGAAAGAAGGGCGATCTTCGAATTTTGGAAGTACGCTGCTACTCCTGTACATCCGTTTCGGGATAGTTTAGACGCGTCCGTGAAGAAAACATTCCAGCCCTTCCAAAATCTGCTCAAGGCGCGTCCAAACTCACCCGCAGCATTCGCCGAGTATTTCGAGATGCCAAGTCCTAGAATCAGCTTTGGCCTGAAGTGAATAATCTCATATATGGAAGAGAAAACCGGGAGTACAGGATATTGACTGATAGGTGCAGAGAGGTTTTTAAGTTCTCTGTACCTGACGATCACGGGAGGGACGGGTTTATTATTCCAATAGGAAGAGGAGCTAAAAGAACAGTGGATTTGTTCCAGGATAGGAATCAGAGGATGTGATGAGAGGGAGAGAACTTTTGAAATGAAACGGTCTGCCAGGTATTGTCTTCGAAGGTTGAGGGGAGGCTCTACACATTCAACCTGAAGAGCATTTATGGGGGATGATTTCATAGCTCCAATAATTATTCTAAGGCATTTGGCCTGAATGGAGTCTAGTTTTTTTAATGCACCCTTATTGCAAGGAACAATAAGGAAGCAACAATAGTCCATTACGCTTCTGACCAATGCATTGTAGATGAGCTTCAATGAGTAAGAGTGGGCACCCCACCAAACCCCGGCCAAGGCTCTGAGTAGGGATACTGAGCGTTCACACCTTCCAACTACGGTGTTTATGTGGTCCACCCCAGACATCTTTGAGTCGAGATAAACTCCCAAAAATCTAGCACTGCTTTTGATCGGAATAGCCTGACCGTCTATCTCTATACAAACATCTGGAGTGCGTCGTTTGCGTGTAAAAATGATAGCTGAGCTTTTTGGGGCGCTTAAAGATAACCCGTGATTAAGTAGCCATTGGTTTAATGAGGCCAAAGAGACATTGATGGAGTGAGCAGCGTCTGTTATAGAGCTGTTGGTAACCATTAGTGCGATATCGTCAGCATACTGAAGGACATTACAGTTAAAATTTAAACAGGAGGGGAGGTCATATGTATAAATATTATAAAGGATGGGACTAAGGACTGACCCCTGAGGTAAACCTTTCCAGGAGGACCTCTGTACTGGGTTATCCTCAGGAGTTCTCAATTGGAGGGTACGATCGGAAAGGATGCAGCCTATTATTCGGCAGATTCTACTCGGAATTCTCAGCTGTTGCAGTTTCTGCCTGAGAAGGGGTAAGAGGACAGAATCATAGGCCGCTGAGATGTCCAAGAAAACCGCGACCAACGACTCCTGCCTGCTAAGGGCCAGTCGGATGGCTGACGTGAGAGTACCTACACTGTCAGCCGTACCCAGACCCTTTCTGAAGCCGAACTGAGTCGCCGGAAGCAGCCTCTGGCTTTCTACCAACCATTCAAGTCGGTTTTTGATGAGGTGTTCAAATGATTTAATGAGTATGGACGATAAGGCAATAGGTCTGTACGACGAATGGTCACCAGGATCTTTGCCAGGTTTTAACAGCGGCATAATAACCTGAACCTTCCATGTAGGAGGAATATAGCCTGACGTAAAGCAAAAATTGACTAAGTCAAGGTAGTACTGTTTCGTTTTGGTTCCTGCCTTAGTTAAGAAGGAGTAGGGGAACCCATCAATTCCTGGTGCCGAGTCCTTTACATGATTGAGCACAGTTTGGAGCTCTTCAAATGAAAACTCCAAATCGAGTGGATCATGAATCTCGGGTCTCTCGATCTCATAGGAACTCAGGCAGCATTCATCTGCACTAGGAACGTATGTTGGGGCAATACTATTAAGAAAATTGTTATTCAGACATTCGGGTAGAGTGGAGATAGAGGGAGGTTTGGTGGAGTTCCTAAAATTTTTTACTCTCTGCCAAACTGTGGATATTGGTGTGGATGGGCTTAGGGAACCACAAAATCTCTGCCACCCCTGTCTTTTCTTTTTTTTGAACACTTTTCTTGACTCAGCCAAAATTCGCTTGAAACTTAGGAGATTTTCCAGGTTCATATCTTGGTTATATGTCTTTTCAGCTTCATTCCTAGCTCTTATCATGGCAGTGCATTCACTATCCCACCATGGAGGAGAAGGAATTTTGCTTTTTGGTGTGCTTTTCACCGGAAAGCAGTCTTCAGCTGTAGAAGCTATCAGGTCCGAAAATTTAGAAAAGCACTCCAAAGCATTCTCGGTATTTACTGGTGGAAGGGAAGAAATACGGTGGTCTAATAGTTTTGAAAACAGATCCCAGTCTGCTGAATTTAAACGATATTTTAATAGGGGGGGAAGGGGTTTATCTGGAATGGATTTTGAAGGATTTTTAATTATGATGGGATAGTGGTCACTACCATAGGACAAATTTAAACAACTCCAGTTTAGCATGCCAGCCATAGCAGGCGAGCAGAAGGTCAAGTCAACACAGCTGTTTCTTTGACCAAATGCAGACCTACGAGTAGGGCTGCCATCATTAATGACACACAAGTCGAGCTCGTCCAGCATCTCCACTAATTCATTACCCATTAGATCGCATATATCTGAACCCCATCTATAATGGTGGCAGTTGAAGTCACCCATTACAAGCAATGGGCCACTTACCACGGATAGCAGATTTTTAATTAACCTAATGTGATTAACATGAGGGTGTGCAATATAAAATACAAATATATTTATGTCCTCAGCCTTAACAGCGACAACATTGATGTCATCGCCAACGAAGGGTAGAGGGATCTGGGTGAAGGGCACTTTGTTATTAACTAACAAAGCACAACCTCCATAACCATCAGATCTGTCATGTCTGACAACACTGAAACACGGGATCCCGAAATTAATATTCGGTCGAAGCCATGTCTCAGCAATGCCACAAATCGATGGTTTAAATTTGTTAATTAAGTGGAGTAAGTCACTCTTCCTGGGAAGAGTACTCCTCACGTTCCACTGAAGCAGTGTTAGAGGTAGGAATTTTACAAATATAGTCTAAAATTGTAGAAAGCTTGTGTGCCACGTGGTCAGGTACATTTTGGGCAGGGTTTGATAGAACTGCCATGAGCATATCAGAAACTATATTTAGTATGTTTTTGGAGCTACGAATGTTGGTTCCGGATTCCATAGGGAAAGCGCAACCATTTTTGGATGGGGAGTAAGAGTAGTCCTGGATAAGGGCCTGATGGGCCTTCTTATCATAGCTGGGGGAAAGGGGGGCATGTGACTTAGGTTTGAGATGAACTGTTTTTTTATAGGACACTCTTTGTTGGGATGGTGATTTATTAGGAGACGAATCTATAAGGTTGACTGACCTTGAAACCTCAGCATAAGACCTTTTAACCATAGGGAAAACCTGGCTTGCTTCCATATACGAAATAGATTTTTCCGCCATCAAAGCTTTGATGCTCTTCTGGCGTCCTAATTCAGGGCATGCTTTGTCATTGGCAAAGTGGTTGCCATTGCAATTAATACAATGGGCAGTATCGGCTGAAGTCTGGCATCCATCACCTGGATGGTCCTGTCCACATCTGAAACAACGCGGCTTCGAGCGGCAGAGAGTGCGGGTGTGTCCAAAACGACAACAGTGATAGCATTGTATGGTAGGATATGCATACAGTTCTACCGGAAGTGCTGAGTAAAAGCAAAATACCTTTTTGGGTAGGATTTGGCCATCAAAGGTAAGCACTACAGTTTGGGTAGGTTTCCATTCGGTACCGTTTATTGAAGTGATTCTGCGATTCATCCTCCTTGCCTTTATCACAGCCCCACAGCCGTTGGGAACCTTGATATTTCCAATGATTTCGTCCTCTGTCCATTCAACAGGGACGTCCCTCACAATACCCATTCGTGTTACATTGAATTGAGGGATTGAGGTAACATAGCTTTGAGCCACCATACTATTCACCAAGAAACTATTTGCATCCTGGTGCGACACAAACTCAACCGAAACTCGGTTCCTTCCCAGACGTTTAACACCACCAATCTTAACATTGTTAATGTTTTGTTTCATAAGAAACATTCCGAACTTAACCGGGTGTAGTGTGGTGCCAGACGTCTGAGCGTCCTTAAGGGACACATATACTACATACGGAGGGTTATCCCTGGCCGTATAACACTGTCTACCGTATACACTTTTCGCCAGTTTTGGAGGATTATTCATGGAGATAGGAGGGGAGCCTGCATGTCGTTTCCGACTGTTGGTGGGTTCTAAGTCCATTCTTTCAAAATTTGGTGTTGTATTGGGAGGAAGGGTAATGGTCAGAATTGTTTCAGTTTCGTATTCCGGCGATTTATCGGGAGGATCGGGTGGCTTCTCTTCGTCCATTTTGGGGATAAAAAGTAGGAAGAGGAAACAAGTGGAAAAACTTACTTAAAACTACCAATACCGAGATAAAACTTACGGACACAGTTAATTAGACAACACGACAACACAGAACTTAAAGGATTTCAGTTCACACTGAGGGGGATCACTAAAATAGTCAACAAACGTAGGAAAACGACAAAAGCACGTGCGTAACCTTCACCGCTACCAACGACTTCTATACACTTTTTATACGTAGAAATGACATTTAGCATTTTGAATGATATTTAGCCCCCACTCCTAAACTTTGATTCGTTTTATCTAAGTATTGTTTTGTTATACGTCAAAATAAAAAAATACGTGTCTAATATTTTTTCATTATGTACCTTACTTACGGACTAATTATATTTTTAATTTTCATACCCTGTTATCATCTCAATTATAGTTTATCAATAAATATTTCCATTACTCACCATAAGGTTTCTCCAACCGTCCTCCCCCGGAGACCATCTCCATGACCTCTCTGTTGGCGCAGCCAGTGTACGGCATCACGCCCAGGGAGAACACCTCCCATAGCAACACGCCGAACGACCTGGTCATATACCATACCACCATGAATATAACAAGTTTAATTTTTAATGGAGTAACGAATGGAGTTTCTTTCTCTTTCTCCATTCGAAACAACGCTTTGGAACGAGCGCCTAGTTTTACTGACAGACAGACGGACGGAAAAAAATTTTTTTGACGTTTCAAGTTTCAAGTAAGGATTAATTGAAATCAATGCTTTGAAGTTTAAGGTAGAAAGATTTGAATTAATTCTGTGGTCACAGTCTTTTTGAAACTCCTATACTATAGATATTATATTGGCTACAGTAGGTATAATTGAAAGCTTTGTAGGTTTTCTGAATTCCTTTTGAAAATTATGCATTTTAATTTAAATAGATTGTATTTCTCTTTTAAGTGTCTGTGAATATAATGTGTACAAGAATCCAGAGAAATCCAAAACCCTTGAAACGAGCATGTACTTAAATGAATCACAAAATCAAGGGAACCGTTTACTAACATGTTATGTTATGTTACTTGGTTGAAAATATAGAGGTACAATAGAGGGTGTAACACCCTAACACAACACCCTAGCATAAATTATAACAAGTAAAAGAGTAAAAAATAAATTTACATTAAACAATGAAAATTACAAAATCGAGACAGACCCATCCAAAAAACCATTCTCCTAGTTCAGCAAAAACTAATAAAAAAGCCTCACCAAACATCAGTTTTGATGGTGAAGACTCCATCGATGTATGCTTCAGGCGGCATCCACTTTATGGGCAACATGGCCTTGCCTCCCTTCTTGTAGTAGTCGGACCTGTATATATCGCGCGCCATGCCGAAGTCTGCTATCTTCACCACTCTGCCTGGGCCCCGGGACGTCAGGAGGCAGTTGCGGGCTGCTATGTCCCTGGGGAGATAAATTGAGGGGTTTAGCCAGCGGTAAAGGTAAGATTAGTTCAATTTCCATAAAATGTTTCCAGAAGTCATCCAATGATGATGATTATGGGCAGTTATTTTACTTTGTCGATGTCAGAGGAGATATGAGATAACCTAATGTGAGATAAAATCATTAAAATAGGTATCAGAGTTCGTGTCATTCCAAAGAATAACAATTTTGTCGGATCTGAACATCAAAGCTCAAGTTGGCTGATATGTTTTTTCTTTTCTTTTTAAATATACGTTGCCCCACTCTAGGATTTTCTCCTGTGTCGTGGGTGCGTTTACAAACATACAAGTTCTGAAGTTCACATACACATGACACCCAGACCCGGAACAACAATCTGTGAATTAGACAAAGAGGTGTTCCGTGCGTTGCGCGGTGGTCGGTACCCAGCCACTGCACCAACCGTGCAGGCATATAATTATAGTCCTATGTTCCTTTGCAGAAGCTATCTTCTGGATAAAATCAGTGCCTTTAGCCAAACGCCACTTTAGCGCTTGTCTACAGAGAGAGTAGAAAACGAAATGTATGGGGATGACACTGACAAATGTCAAAATTTACGTCAATCCCATATAATTTGGTTTTCTACTCTACATGTAGACAAGCGCTAAATGGCATTTGGCTACAGCTGCTGGTCTGATTTCACTTTTGAGTAAAATCTCAAGAAGTAAGTAGCATATCAAAGTCCCTCACTTAATATTATTTCTCATGTCCAACTCGAGAGCCCCTAAACCTTCAAGTCTTATAAAGACCGAGAATCCTTGAATCCCTTACCTATGTATGAATCTCTTGCTCTCCAAATATCTGCATCCCTTGCAGACGTCGATGGAGCACAGCAGGAGATCCTTCATGGTGAGCGCGCTCGCTCGCTCCGGCTTCGGGCGACTCTCACGGAGGAAGTTCTTCAAGTCTCCACCGGCCAGCAGTTCCAGGACTATGAATCTAGAGACAAATGGTGATATTTATAGTGTAAATGAGTTTAGTATTTTAAAACTACGAAAAATTACGAATATCTTTTCATTTTCTTGTTTATGGAATGTGTAGAATATTAAGAAATAACATGCTCTCTGTTCCACTACTCTTTGTGGAAAAAAATGGTCCACTCTCACGCTACACACGCTATATAGTGTGTGCGTTAACAATTCAACTTTACATTATAACTACACATCAAGTTATAACGTAATAATGCGTCCTTCTTTGCAAAAAATCCTATACTGTTTTTGAAACAACTCACCCGAGGATTACAGTCTACCTAACCTATCAGCATTACTATTTAACTTTGAGCGCAATAAAACGTAAAAGAATCTTACCGTGGATGTCGATCAAAGCAGACACCGATCAGATGGACAATATTAGGATGGCTGAACTTGGCCATGATGGCAGCTTCCATCAGGAAGTCGGACTCAGCCTGGCCGGTCGACAGTTCTGGCAGAGTTTTCACTGCCACTGGCATCTCCACCGTGTCTCCTGTACGGTGGCGGTAGAGGCCTTGGTATACTTCTCCGAAGGCTCCCTGGCCTAAAGCCCTGGGGGGTAAAAGATTGAGTTAGGGTTGGAGAAGTTTTGTTTCATGATGTTTAATGATAAGGAGAAAAAGTAAAGTAAAGTAAAAGTTAAATTTAATAACAAAGAGACAAGATCTTGATAGACTTTAAATAGAAGACATAGAGAAAAGATTTTGGTATCCTAGCTTAAGTAGTTCAAATACGGAGCCACGGAAGGCCTAACGGGTTGCCGGGGCTCCGGCTTGGAGAGCAGAAGTAGGAACGGGGTGGTTTTTAATCAGTAAGAGTCTGACACTCCCACCCGCCTCACCCAGGCGGGAGAAGTCATTGAAAGATTTTCTTCTCTGAAAAAAAGCCTACTTCAAAGTCAATCATAGGTACTTAAATTTTGCAGGAAGTAATGTACGTATATACATAACTTGACGGCTGTCTCCCATGGGGGTAGGCAGAGACTATGGAACACCAATTACTACGATTCCTACATACCTATTTCTTTTCATCAACAGTAAAGAAGAAATGTACACATGGCTACACATGGAGCTTTACATAACCAGTATAAACTGAACGTTAAATGTGCGAAAGATGATGCGACGCGACCCCAGGGTAAACTAGTTTTGTATAGATTGATGTGTGGCCGTGTGTACCTACCATCTGTAATTTTCATTTTTGTCATTAAAATCTCTGCTTTGTTAGAGCCTTTTGAAAATCGATAAACTGATTGAGCTGTTAGTTTTTTTTATCTTAAAATTCATTATTTGCTTTTGACTTATGCCTGTACTGAAGACGTTATCGTACTTAAAAAACCTGACGCGCAAATTATTTTAGTTCATCTTGTTAAATACACCTAAGTTCTCACGCCTATCTCCCGTGAGGATAGACAAAGACTTCTTAATTTCATATCACATTTAGCACAATCATCCTCTTTACTCCCAATTCAGAGATTTACTTTTTTCTCAACACTTCAAAATCAGTATCCACTTACTTGACAAGTTTCAAGCTCTCCCTGGAGACCTGCGGCAGCCCCCGGACATCGATCCCCTGCGGCAGGATGCTCTCGCTCCCGTAGTGAGGGTTGAATGCCATGGTGAGGTTGTCATTCCCTCCCGGAGCACTCCTCAGTCGTTGTAACTGAACATCTTGTTCTAGAAGACGTTTCTGCTGCTGTTCTGCTTCTTTCTTCCGTTGGTAGGTGTTGTCTGAGGGAACGATTTGTTAGTTTTTGATTTGGTACTGTCAAGGTAGTTAGAATTGTTGATGATAATGATTATATTACGAATGGAGTTTCTTGCTCGTTCTTCTCCACTTGAATCTATATTTTGGAACGAGCACCTTCATTAACGGACAGACTATTATTTATTTTATTTTTGTTGATGTTTCAAAAGTACGAAATTATGGTTTAATTGAAATAAATGCTTTTTGAGTTTGAGTTTTTCTCGTTTTCTGTCGCATTATGCTATTGAATTTGATCAGTGATGAAACTGAATTAAAAATCTTATATTGTTTTTAGAACCTGGTTTAAATTCATCCCAATGCCGTTGTAATTAATTATACGGTTATAATTTGATCTATACAAATGAATAGTTAGACAAACCAGAATATCTTCTAGAATTTTCAATGATCGGTCAAGTTTTCTTTGGTGTTAGCTCTAAGTAACTGACTGATTTTCGAATATTGTATTTGATTGCTTAGCTTTTAGACAAGAATGTCTTTTTGGATGTACAATAGTATACTCACAGAGATAGAGACAGACGCAGAGCACGGCGAGTGCGCAGACGAAGACTGCGACGGACAGGACTATGATCACTACCCACGGGGTCCGCGGCCACGCCTCCTCCACTGTACCACGGAATACATTTTTTACAAGTTGATGACGTTCAAGTTCGTGTGTGGGTTCCAGTGTAGACTTTGGTTTAAAGTTGATTGATTAGGGAATTAGTCGTCTCTATTGACAAACACCAGGCACAATTCAGAAAGCAAAGTTTGATAAAATTTTGAAATTATCATATTGACAATTTTTTTTGAAATGCGTAATTAGGCAGTATTATCACAAAGGTACTATTCCTTAAAGAGAATATTAAAATTGATACTTTAGCCTACTAGACGATCTACATTGCAATTAACAAACACGTTAGATCTACAAAACAAAGTTCTTTTCGACATCTACCTTCTGGGGACCCCTTTAAAGAAGATTTCCTGTTGATTCAGCAACATTAACTTCTACATCATCTCAATAGGGTAGTTTCCTAAATTTTATTTTAATGTCCGTCTGGTACTTTAAAACTTTAGACACGTATTTTTTCTTTTCTCACAAAATAAAGTCGAAAGTCGACAATATATAAATTTGAAATATTGTGTGACGTCACAGCGTGCCACATTTTGTAACTGACGTGCCACGTTTTGACGTAACGACCTCCCACTCCTAAACTTAGTGTCATTTTATCTAAGTATTGCAACTTAATACGAGAAAATAACATGTCTAATATTTTTTATTATCTAACTGACGGACTAATTATATTTTTAATTTTTATACTCTGGAAATTACCCAATTATATAAATAAGTGTTAGATCTTTCTGAAAGAATGTGTCCAAGTGCAGGTAGACTTACATATGCACTTGGTGGGGTCGTGTGCGTCGGCGGTCCAGGTGGCGGGGCAGTAACACTTGACCTCGCTGCGGAACTCGTTCAGCGCCACGCAGCGGTAGTCGCAGTCGCAGTCCTGCCCGCACACGGCACTCAGTACAAAGAGCTCTCAAAGTGGGTTAAGGAATATGGATATTAGGCATACTTAAGTGAGGGCTATGCCATATTGTCTCTTAGATCCTTTAGTTGAAAGTAGAAATATTTAAAACAAGCTTTTACCCACAGCTTTTTTAAAAGGATAAAAAATAGCCTATGTGACATATACCAATACACACAGCGCCATCTATACCAATACTTTTATTTTCCCTCGGGAATATCAAATTTTTCCGGGATGAAAAGTACCCTATTATTTAATCCAGACTTCTAACTTTACCTCTGCAAAATTTCAAAGCAATCGGTTCAGTAGTTACGTCGTGAAAGCGGAACAAACAAACAAACAAACAAACTTACTTTCCGATTTATAATATAAGTAAGGAAGTAAGGATATTATTTCTGATAGTAAAGTTTTAATCCCATTATGGCCAAGCTGGTTAAACCCTACATGAAGAAAAAATCCAAACACTATATTGATAGAAATGTTTTGCCTAAAATCAAAACACTCTTTACTTAGTCCCAGAATATAAAACCTTACATTACAATTACACTTAATACGTCGTGTGTCTAAACGTGGATCTACGCGAGACATAATGTACTATCTTCTAATGTGTCTCATATACGGGCATTCAAGCCGTTAAAACCAAGAGATACTTTGGGCTATCTAACCAGACCCATTTACTTATTGTAGTTCCATTGTACATTTTCCCTGGTCTAATGGTATATTACTAGTTAGTCTGTAAGGTTTTGACTACAGAATATAATTATTACAGCAGTTCTTTTTGTTTTTTTCATTTACTTTACTTACATGTATAGCGGGGAATATAAGTAGCTCCCCGGGCCCCGTCCTGGGCGCGACGGTCGCCTCGCTGTAGTCCTTGACGGCCCGGCTGGCCGCGATGTACGACCAGCCTCCGCCGCCGTGTAGACCGAGACCTTCGTTTGTATCTCCTCCTGCATTTATGGAAATTGGTTAGAGCGTATATAATAACGAGTAGAATACTTCCGCGAAGAACTTAACGGGTTGCCGGGGCTCCGGATCGAAGTGTAGAAGTAAGAACGGGGTGGATTTTTAGTAAGTAAGCTGGCACTCCCTGCCGTCTCACCTGAACGGGAGAAGTCATTAGATGATCTCCCCCCTCAAAAAAAAAAACAGTAGAATACTTTTGAAGGCCCAGGGAAGAGTTAAGCGTAAGAATCAACTAAGAGACTACACACCTACCCTTTGGGTACCGTCATTATAGACACAATTAAAGAACAACAGGTTGCGGTCACCGGTGTCCTCGTGGTGTTTGATAGTTTAACAGAGATCGGGCAGCAGCGTTCTCGTAAGTTATGAATTCAGATTCGGAAACCTGAAATTCGCCACAAACGTCCGGAATTTCTAAAACTAAAGCGACTGCCCGTCTCAAACTGCGATCTCCAACCCGTTAGTAAAGCGTAGAGATTATGTTAAACCCCTTTTTTATAGAGGAAGGCAATATCCAGCAGTGGACTATCATCGGATGTTAATCAAAAATGTTTCACTCACCAAGCCATCCTCCCCCGCCGCCTCCTCTAAGACATCCTCCCCCTCCGCCTCCGAACCCCCCATCAGCCTGGCCGGCACAGGCGGCCCCCCCTCCGCCCCCCTCGTGTAGCGCGGCCCCCCGCACCAGCTCGAACCCGGGAGTGGTCGGACCCGAGCGAGCCAACCAACCACCGCCAGCACCTGGTTGGAATGTAGGAATTTAATAAGCGTCAGTGTTTGTGGGAAATAAAATTGAGATACATGTGGTGATAGTAGAATACGATATACCTATTGCTTATCATGATATTTCCATGTCTGTGGTAATTTACAACTCCCACGGAATGAGTAAGAGCTCTTATGAAGTTACGACGTTTGACACAAACCACCCAAGCAAGTGTGGGAGAGCCATGCTTCGGCAGTGCTGGGCCGGCTCGACCGGAGTGATACCACCAACGAGCAGAAAACTAAAGTGAAACAACACTTGCGTTGTTTCATCTAATAACTGAGTCTACTAAGGGCCCAATTACCACCCTTCCCTTCCCCAAGTTCCCCAATCCCTGAATCTCCGACAATCCTTAAATTCTTAGTCCTCAAAAAGACGGTAACGCTTGTAACGCCTCTGGTGGTCTGGGTGTCCTCGGGCGAAGCCGATTGCTTACTATCAGGTGATCCATCTGCTCGTTTATCGGCTTATCTCATTAAAAAAACCACTCAGCTGTATTGCAACCTTTAATAGATTGATTTTAAACTGTGTTCTATAACTTGGCTGCCATACCATAGCAGGGCAAATCATTTTATGTAGAGAAGGTTATTTTATGGTCCAATAGTGTTGAAACTGTTGATGATGAGATACCCCAGCAAAGGTGGAACGGAGAGCTAGTACCAAAAATAAAAATACAAATGCATTCCTCACCTGAAGTCTTCCCCGGTTGTCCATACATGTACCCGGACTCAGGAGTGGCGTTGGTGAGTGCGTGAGCGTGCTGGGACCCGTCGTCTCTGAAGCTGCCCACCGAGATCCCTCCCCCTCCCCCCGCCACTAGTAGAGGGAAGGCTTGCCCGTCTTTGTCCAGCTATGGGAAGATGAGGTTTAGTGTTGTTACAAATTCTTTTGAGACATTGAACCGAGTACTTTGTAAATGGCTACTTCAGTATTAAGCTGTTTGTTTAAGAACTACTTCTGCGAGGTTGCACCTGTTCTGTTCGGCGCCTATTGATTTAAGCCTGATGTTTGATATATAGGCTATTAAACATCCTTCCTCGATAAATGGCCTAACCAACAAAAAAATATTTTTCCAAATCGGACCAATGGTTCCTGAGATTACCGCGTTCAAACAAACAAACAAATTCTTCAGCTCGTTAAACAAGTAATAATAATAATGAGATGCTATTCCTATCAAAAACTCCCAAGCATTGGGGTCTTTCCAGTTCTTTATTATTATTTGTAATTTTCGTTTAGAATTCAAAATGAAAAAAAAAAAACAAAAACGTTTTCATTTCTTCAGATAACTAGGCAAAATACCATTTTTCAATGTGATTTTTTTCAAATCAGGATCTCCCACCTATACATTTATATATGTTGTAAGCAATAGACTTACCAGGAATACATAAGTGGCCCCTCCCCCTCCTCCCCCTCCGTCAGTGACATGTGTGTTCCGGACCTCGTGGGTCTTACTGGTGAACACCTGGCTGGTCTCATTGGAGGTCCGGCGGGAACACTCGTGGTGACCTTCCTGGGCTGATAGTGTCTAAAGAAGAAGGGTTTCAGTGTTAGAAGGTAGCCTAAAGAATTTAGGGAGTCAACAAGACCCAAATTCATTTCTTGCTTTAGTTGGTATATAAAATAGCAGAAAGGTATGGTCTCACACAGTCGTGGGTGATTTTTTTAATGCTAATAACAACTCTGTATTGAAATAAGACCCTGAGGAATCCCAATAGATATGTAACTGCCATGACAAAATCATAAATAGAGCAAAATATATTTAGTTATCATCATTATCATCATCTACAGCCTATAAGTATAGGCATTTGACACCATTTCTTCCTCCCTGTTATTTCATAAACTTGAAAAAATTGGTATAAGAGGAGTACAGCTGAAATTATTCACGGACTATCTTAAAAATCGTCAGCAGTGCGTAAAAATTGGTCAATATAGAAGTTCTGAACTAAAAAACAGTAGTTACGGAATTCCTCAGGGTAGTATATTAGGTCCTACCTTATTCCTAATATATATCAATGACCTATGCAGCTTGACCCTCCAAAATGGTGTTATTATGTCATATGCTGATGACACAGCTCTGGTGTTCACAGGTAAATCAAATGATGAGGTCTATGAATTTGCCCAAAATGGTTTTAATATAGTGTCTAATTGGCTTCATAATAATCTTCTAACATTGAATTCAGATAAAACAAACTACATGTTATTTTCAATGAGAAATACTCACATATGGACTACTAACCTTAACATTTATGCACATAGTTGTCATACGAGCACGACTGCTGACACAGCATGCGCTTGCCCTACATTGGTAAAAACTGACTATATAAAATATCTAGGTGTCACTATTGATGCTAATCTCAATTTCCGAAAACATATTGATACACTATGCACTAGAGTACGAAAATTAATATATGTCTTCAAATACTTGCGCAACATTGCGGACTTTGCCTTAATCCGCCAGGTATATATGGCATTATGTCAATCCATTCTTGCCTACTGTATTAACTCATGGGGTGGTGCTCTAAAAACTATTCTCCTGCCCCTAGAACGTGCCCAAAGAGCAATTCTGAAGGTCGCCACCTTTCGTCCTTTCAAGTTTCCTACTCAACAGCTATACAGGGAATGCAAAGTACTGACAGTACGCCAGTTATTCATCCTTAACGTAGTACTGCTGCAGCATACTGAAATTGGTTTTAGCCCGATATCTTCCGACAAGAGAAGAAAGGATTTAGTTTGCACTAACCCTCAGACGAAACATGCTTTTACTAACAGATTTTATTTGTTTTTAGGACCATATTTATATAACAAACTCAACAGGTTGTTAAAAGTTTATAGTGTAAGTTTATATAAGTGTAATCTAATACTTACAGAATATTTACAGTCCCTCAATTACTCAGAAACGGAAAAATTACTAGAAGTGTTAAAATAAACTGCTTATTTTCAGTGATAAATCTACATATTAACTAGTATAGTGTTGTTTGTTTCATAATTTAGGACAGGTTGTCCTTGCTTGGTCTTTAAATAATTGTGTAATACGATTTATAATTATATCCATCAAATCATCTTTTTGGCATTGATAGCCTGAAACACAGGTTTAAATAAACCTAGTTCGGGTAATCCCTATATATACTTAGAACGTTATTTCCTCGCATGTATATTGTATAAGACTAGATTAAGTAAACTATTACGAGTGTTATTATTAAGACTTTTTATTACTTTAAAATCTGAGCGAACTGTAATTCTAAATGTGTTCTATGTTGTTTTTAATAAATTTTATTTTATTTATTTATTATTATTTTATTTATTTTATTTATAAGTGTCCATTGCTGACCAAAGGCCTCTTCTCGCACGGAGAAGTTTTGAGCATTAATCACCATGCTTGGTCATTGCAGGTTGGCGATTTAAAACTTATAATTAGAAATTATAAGCCCAGGTTTCCTCACGACGTTTTCCTTTGCCATTTGTCAGTGGTGTCTAGATAATCTGATAATCTTAGAATGTATATATAACTTGGAAAAAGTCACATTGGTGTTTGCCATTGCTAGGTTTCGAATCCTCATGCATGAGAAGCCGGCGGGCGGCGTTAAACCTCCGGGCCATCTCGACAGGGATACTTTTGGTAGGAAGTACGTAGATCAAAGTACTTCCTACTAAAAGTATCCCTGGCCCCTCCCAGTGCGTGCTCACCTTCTTGCAGGCGTTGCCCCCCTGTTGCCCGACGAGGATGTAGACGCGCTCGCTCTTGTGGAGCTCCACGAGCGCGCGCACGGCCGCCGCGTGCGACACGCCCGCCCACGCGGACCCCAGCCCGCCACTCGCGCCCGTGGCTATCAGTCTACGGAGGTTGGACAAGATAAACAATTTGATAAAAACAAAAATCTTAAATTAAAAGTCTATAGAGTAGAAGACTGTTTTTAGTGCAAGTCTTCTGTAGTAGTATTCTGTAGCATAAGGTGAAATGTGTAAGAAATTGAGAATAATCATACAATATAATTTGCTGATGGTTTTTTTTTAGTAGGAAAATTGCTTTTAATTGAAAATGTTTTAGTTGACCATATTTGGAAACCTAAGCCTAATTAATGTTACATCATTGTATCCAATAAAAATGTAAATTGACCGTAAGTAAACTCAACGCAAAGAAAAGGAGAAGGTTTGAGCATTAATAAATTGGCGATGTCAAACTTATATTTAGAAATTATAAAACCATGTTTTCTCACGATATTTTCCTTCACCGTTTGTCAATGGTGTCTAAAAAATCTTAGAAAGTACATATATCTCGGAATAAGTTACATTAGTACTTTGCTTTTGGTAGATTTCGAACCCGTGCCTCTTCTGGGCCACCACGACACACAGCACACACTTTGTCAACTAGAATGAATAATTGCGAGACTGACGTGTAGAGTCCCTCGGCCGGCACCTCCCAGAGCTGTATGCCCTGGTAGGGCGCGCTCTGTATGACGGACACCGACACCGCGCTGTTGTTGTACGCCGCGTCACACATGGCCTGGCTCGGACCGAACCGACCCGTCGCACCGCAGGGCGTGAAGCGGTAGACTGAAGGACAAAATCAAAGTTAAAGTTTTACAGAAACTATCAAGTAAGACATGACGAATGATGAATTTATAATCTTATTTTTGAAATCGTTGCTCCACTCTATGATTTTCTCCTGTGTCATGGGTGCAAACATACAAGTTCACATACACATGACACCCAGACCCGGAACAACAATTTGTGGATCACATAAAGACTTGTTCCGTGCGGGAATCGGACCCGCAAAACGTTTAGCGACAACCCATTGCCTAACCACCGCGCCAATCGTGAAGTCACTTCACATTCTGTATTAGTTTTCTATCATGTTTTATAACAATTGGATTCGGCAATCACCCCAACCCAATGATAAAATAAGTGAAATACCAGTTTATTAATACCAAAACTAATTTAATAATTTATTTATAGGTACTTACAAGGTTTATCCGCAAATGCAGCATGGGGTGTAGTCTTCTCCTCAAACGAAGGATCGTAATAGTTATAATCCCCTAACTCTGCCGGGTCCACGTTTAGCCCGAAACACTCGGGAGCCATCGAGAAGTCGTCTATCGCTGAGTCTGAGTAAATCCTCATGCCCATACGAGTTTTAAATTCTAGGAAGTACCTGTAGAAAAAAAAATTGGAATTTAAGTTTTAAAATGGTGCTCGGGTCATTTTCCGTATCTATCTGTCTTTTGATCTCAAAGTGGTTATTGAACACCGTGATAGCTTTAATTTATGGTCAAGTGAATTTATCTCTTATATGGTTGTCCATAAGCGATAAATTTACTTGTCTGCCTAAAACCACTTTAAATTAATATGCTTTGTTCAAAACTGTATTAATATTTTTGGCTTCTATTTAGACGAACGAGGATAAAAGAAGCTACGGTATTACCAATTAGCATCTAGCTCTTGATACAAATTTACTAACAATACTAACAAATGTTCAAATACTATTTCTACCTCATTAAAATCACCTTTTTGTCATGATCAATTCTTCTTTTTCAGCTTCTACAACACCCCTTTCCCAAATCTACTTTACTAATCTTAAATCCTCCTAAAGAACAACGTCATTACCATCATCGATCACTTTGACGAGATTTTAGTGTTACATTGTTCTCGCACAATCCAAACAGCAAACTATGTAACTAGAGAATTGTATTGTGAACCTGATTGAAAAAGAGTAACCTATGGAGTTTCTTGCTCGTTCTTCTCCATAGGAATCTACACATTGGAATGAGCAAATAGCTTCACTTCTAATTTTATTGTTGACGTTCAAAAGTGCCTTTCTGGTCTAACTGAAATAAATGATTTTGACTTTTGACTTTGACCATTTCAAAAGACCATCACTTCCCACTTACCTCCTAGTAACATTAGGCAGGAAGATAGACGCCCGGTACCAGTTCTCGCCTTTATCTTTAGTACTGAACCACACGGAGGTGGTGATGTTGCCGCGGTTCGTCAGTTCCACCACGTTCACACTCAACGACCCATAGTTCCTACCATTCTGCTGGTAGTAGAATCTTATCTGGAAAATGGAGAAGTTGATTAGTATTGTCTGTTGGGGTAAAAGTAAAACTTTTACAGAAGTACGTTCTGAAGGATGTGAACTGTTTGGAGCGTTATTTTGTCAAGAACTGCGACTTAGAAGTTATTTTACCATAAACAACGACGACAAAAATCAAAGAACTTTGGCTACATGTGTAAAAATCTTGCTAAGATTAAAATTCTTCGCAATAATGAACCATTTTATATTTTTACAGCAAATAAAGTCGTAATAGTCATAATCATTTCTGTACATTTATCGCTACAGAAGATTATTGAAAAAAATCTCGCGAAATAATACAGTGATCTACAAGAAAAAGAAGACTGTAACTTTAAAAAGGGTCTCAACGGAAGAAACTTACATAGACCTATAAAAAAATTTACAAATGTGCCCCAAAAACTAAGAATTATGGCTAAAAACTTACCATACAACAATTATAATATCTGGACGTAATATTCCCGTGAACCTTTGGAGGAGGGTTGAAAATGACAGTCCTCATGATAGCGGTGGACGCAAAATCCGCCTTCTCCTTATTGGGCCCAGTCACATTCATATTGACGAAGAAATAATACCCGACACACTGAGTGATGCTCAAGTTCAAATGTGCTGGGAACAGTGGGGGTACCACCATCGTTGGGTGTGGCAGCGTGGGCCCACATGTATGGTCGTAGTTTGGGCCTGTTTTGTCTGTTGGGGTGGGCCCATTGTGACGGGACCATTTGAGGATTGGCCTGTTGAAGGAATTTGAGTTAGTTTATGATCTTTAGCTTTTAATTTTTGGTCTCTGTGTACGTTATTTGAAAAATATATGTTCCGAAAGTTTCTGTTACAATAAATATAAATAGAGGTATTTTACGCCAAAGATAAGGTCGGTTGGTTAATGTGTGTTTTTCTTCTGAATGGCAATATAAATTACATCAAAGTGTATTGTTTAAACAATTTAAGATCCTACGAAACGATAATTATAATTGTAAACTTACTGTGGAACATTCTCGAAGCCGCAGGTATCTTGTTCGAAGTTACAATAAGATCCGTACGGCATTTTGTCTGCAACAAAAACATATAAAGTTTAGAACTACTATTTTCCAAGAAACTGAATAACCTGCATCAAAATCCTTTTGCCTTTAAGTTTAAATTGCATACACCCATGAGAAGCAAAAATTGGGGCTCATTTTAATCACTGTGTGGGAGAGCCATGCTTCGGCACGAATAGGCCGGCTCGACCGGAGTGATACTACAGCCTCACAGAAAACCGACGTGAAGCAACGCTTGCGTTGTATTTCGTCGTGTGAGTGAGGTTACCGGAGGCCCAATTACCTTTCCCTTCCCCAATCTCCCCAATCCCTGAATCCCCAACGATCCTCAAACTCTTAATCCGCAAAAAGCCGGTGACGCACTTGTAACGCCTCTGGTGTTCCAGGTGTCCATGGGCGACGCCGATTGCTTACCATCAGGTTATCCGTATGCTCGTTTACCGGCTTATGCCATAAAAAAAAACTCAAAGTTAGAAGTTCTTTCGTGTCATACATACCGCAATTCTGGGCTTCATCGCTGCCATCATCACAGTCCTTGACCAGATCACAGACTTGTTGCAGCTTGATGCACGAGTCTTTCTGTAAGAGCAAATAATACATTTAGTCATGATACTAGTAAATAATTGTACAAGATAGCTAGATAGAAATAGTTAGGTCTTGGAGCTCTGAGTGTGGACCGTAATATAAAATCACGTGTGTACGACACTACATAACATAACATCACGCCTTTTATCCCCGAAGGGGTAGGCAGAGGTGCACACAGAAGTAACACCCACTTTTTCACTATTTTTGTTTTGAGTCCCATGTAATAGGGGGTGAGCCTATTGCCATATACCGGGCACATTTTCAGACTCCGTGCTACTACTGAGATTTTTTTTAAAACCCAATAATACTTTGCCCCAGAAATCGAACCCGAGACCCCTTGCCCGGCAGTCGCACTTGTGACCACTCGGCCATCGAGGCATCGAGTGTACGACACTACTGGATGCAGAAAGAAATATATATATAGGCTCATAGAAATTTCTATTCTCAGAAAGCACATTTCGCCGAAAACGAGTTGAAGGTCGAGTGCCATGTTGCCTGTGTCCAGCAATGGATGGTAGCGGGCCGACGATGATGATTGATCCTTACTAATATTATAAATCGGAAAGTGAGTTTGTTTGTTTGTTTGTTCCGCTTTCACGCCGTAACTACTGAACCGATTGCTTTGAAATTTTGCAGACGTAAAGTTATAAGTCCGGATTAAATAATAGGGTATTTTTTATCTTGGAAAAATTTGATATTCCCGAGGAAAAACAAAAGTATTGGTATAGATGGCGCTGTGTGTATTGGTATGTGTCACATTGGCTTTTTATCCTTTTGTGATGCGAGCGAAGCCGCGGGTGAAAGCTAGTTTTATATATATGCGAAAGTGTGTTTGCTTGTGGTAGCAGCAGAGTAGAATACATTTCAAATGCCACCTCTACTCTTTCAGGATGTGTCGTGAAACAAAAAACCGACTAAGAGACTACACATTTGATAGAGATTAAGCAGCAACGGTCTCTGATAAATCTGACTCCTCATAAACCACAATCTGCAACTAACAGGCCTATAGGCTAGCATTCCCATGAAAAATACTTCATCATTATCATATCAGCTATAAGATGTATGGCATCACAACTGAATGTTTTGCTAATGAATCTTAATCGGATTGTCTGTCCACCTTGTGGGTGGAAATGGAAAAATCATCCTCTTTTTAACGATACTTACGTTCATAATCTGACACTTGAGCTGTCCCAGCACACACTCTCCATTATAGATGGGTGGCTCCGGCACGCAGTCTATCATCCTGATGTTGTCAATGGCGATGTGAGGCAAATTCTGCGAGAGGCTCACGTAGCTTGGCCGTGTGATCTCTATTATAATGCGCACTTCTTGCTGTACCTTACCGATTATGAAGCGCATTGGGTGCCAGCTGTAAAGATGAAGATTATTAGACAGTTAAATCAGATTTTAGGACCTTGATTTTGTACATTGTATGAAAGAATGCTTTGATGTTGTTTTGTGGGTATCCATGGGCAATGCAGATTACGTACCATCAGATGTTGCGTCTGATCGTTTTATCCCATAAAAAACTTGATGGTCCTGTTTGTTTTGAAAACCTTTTTGCAAGCGACTCTCTCACGTTTTTAACAGATTTATTTTCACTGTGGGAGAGCCATGCTTCGGCACGAATGGGCCGGCTCGACCGGAGTGATACCACGGCCTCACAGAAAACCGACGTGAAGCAACGCTTGCGTTGTGTTTCGTCATGTGAGTGAGATTACCGGAGGCCCAATTACCGTCCCCTTCCCCAATCTCCCCAATACCTGAATCCCCAACGATCCTTAAACTCCTAATCCCCAATAGGCCGGTAACGCACTTGCAACGCCTCTGGTGTTCCAGGTGTCTATGGGCGACGACAATTGCTTACCATCAGGTGATCCGTCATTACCGGCTTATGCAATAAAAAATGCATTTGACTAAATAGCCACAAATGTGTTACAAATCCTTAGCTAAATTGAAATCCTCTAATAACACTCTCCGATTGGAGAATCGCACCATAGACCGCTTACTCTATAGTTAGTCTTGCGACGAGTTGACCAGCGACTCAGTCTAGATAATATTGAATGTGTTTTCATTGTCTTCTACAGGTGACATTAATTTGGCCAGTATGAGAATCAGCTTAAACATCAAAAGGTAATGATATTCTGATACTCACATATCGAAATTGTTACCAGCTACCTCCTGCAGTATCCACTGAACTTCAGACATCGTGGACTCCGACACTAGGCGGATGCTGGCGTTCTGCATCTTGCTCTGGTGGAGCTTGGCTTCGAACTGGTGGAAACACATGTCCATGTGACTAATTTGGTTTACGTAATTATTTTTTTTATTATTTACAATGGGTCAGCGTTTTACCAAAATCTCGCCTGGTGGAAAGCGATGATGTAGTTGGCGATAGAGGCGGTGGAGCTCGCCTGCCCATAAACAGGCTATTCACTCGGGTCTTAAAGACACCCAAGAGACAGACTGTGACTCCTTTTTTTGAGCGGGGAAAATAATCCAATTACATATCCCGCCTTGAGTTAGGCGAGAGGGAGTGTTAGACTCTTACTGACTAAAAACCACCCCGTTCCTAATTCTGCTTTTCGAAACGGAGCCCCGGCAACCCGTTAGGCCTTCTGCAGCTCCGTAAGAATACCACTTCTTAGTTTGACTTCAGGGAGATGCTACGCCATATCGAATACCAAATAAAATTGAATACCTATTGATCAAATCTTAGAGGAACGGATTGAGGTGCTTAGTTGCTTACCTTACAGAATTCCCAGAGCCCGCGGAATGGTGGTGACTTGATCACCATGTTCTCCATGGTAGGGTCCACGGCCAGGTAGAGGAAGTGACCTGCAACAAGATAACATTTTTTATTTAGCTATTATTTTAATAATAACAACTTTCAGCGTTAAAAGGTAAAAGTTGAAGGCATTGTTATTTTTTGCAATACCTGCCCACATTTTACCAGTCGTATTTCATGATTATCAAGAGTGAAGTCTATTTCAATGCAACAGACAAGATCCTAAGCTAAATTAATAAATAATTTGGGCTCCAATGTGTGAACGTGATATATGTCTATGGGGAGCGGTGCGATGATAGAAAGATTTTTACAATTATCTCAAAACATTTCTTTGCAGTACAAAAATTATTGTGCGAACATTTCCCAACCACGTGGGCGAACGAACACGATGCGCAAAATGGACAATGAACGGAGAATTGCGCAGTAGTATTACTCGGATTAACTCTCGAGTTACAACGAGTGGGTGTTATGTATTTACTTTAAAAACTTTTGTTGCTATTGTGTTGAAAAAGCTTACATTAGTAAAATAAGTTTTAAAGTTCTTTTTTATTGAGTACAAAAAGAAAGTGAGAATTAATGAATGGTTATAGCATTTTTTATGAGATAAGCCGGTGAACGAGCGGACGGAACACCGGATGGCAAGTCATCGGCGTTGCCCATGGACACCTGCAAGTGCATTAACTGCGCCTGAGTACATCTTATACATGAAGCATTAAAATGACGTAGGCCTTTCCATCCAATATATATTCACCAGTCATCCGGAACACGACTGAACAAAGGATGCATATTCTTAATATAACACCCACCTTTTAAATGAGTCTCTTGTTATAAAGGTCAAACCTATACAGCATACAGCATAGTGCTATCACTAAGGAATCTTACTATCTAACTCAGTGGTTCCCATAGTTGTAGAGACTACGACCTATCTAAATCAAGTTACAAACCTCAGGACCCATATATACTTAACATCATGGGGGGTAGGCAAGCCCTATGGATCCAATTTTTGGAAATGAAACTGTTACCAATAGGAAAAGTAAAATATAGAATGGTTGGTTAGCGTGTTATTATACAGACAAGGCCCACTAAAATTTCACTTGCGACCCATCAATGGATCGCGACCCATAGGTTGGGAAACCCTGATCTAACTAAATATTATAATTGCGAAAATTTGTGTGTATGTTTGTTACTTAATCACGTCACAGCGGCTAGGAATCGGGTTGACATATAGAACAGGGATAATATTTGATCTGGAGTCACACATAGGCTACTTTTTACCCACGAGGACTCGGGAGAAACCACGGGCAGAAGCTAGTTTTCACATAAATTACAAAAAGCGATTATTATGTCAAGCAACAAATCCCTTGCTCGATCACACTTGCTTGCGATCAGTACACATCAATGAGGTAAATTATAGAGGCCCTTGACTTCGTCCGCATGGAATTTTGGATAGTTCTTCACAGATCCTCTCCCGTAGGTGACAGCGTGATAATATGTAGCCTATATGTTGACCTGGCTCATTTGTAATATTCATGCAAAATTTGAAGTAAGCGCGGACATACATACAGACAAACAGACAAAAATTCTAAAAACTATATTTTTGGCTTTGGTATCGATTGCAGATCACGCCCAAAGTATTCTTTTAAAAAAAATTATACGATTTTATTATATGTGTACTTTCTCACTATTTTAACAACATAATAAACTGCATAGCTATAATCCAGCATTTCACTCGAATAAAGTTCTAAATGGGCAGAGAATATCACTAATGAGTGCGCCACTAGTACGTGGGCGAAAAGCTAAATGTCACGCGACAAAACGGATGCGAAGCAGACAAATTAAGTATGAAAGTTACGCTGAATGAATTTAGTATGAATTTTGTACCAGGTTTTTAATAGTAGCTTGCTTTTTAGTTGAAGAATGCAATGTTTCTTGGATTTTTGTGGGTTGGTATAGATAGTATTAGGCAGGGAGTCACTGGATGCTGGTCGCTTACAACAGGGCAATCTGGATGCCATTGATAGAGACTTATAAGTATGTATTATACAGCTGTGGACTTCTTGTGCCTGATAATTTTATTATGATGATAATGTAGATAGATTCAATATTAGGTAAATTAGCAAGTTAAAGTAGTTAATGTTGTCTGTTAATTCAATAAGACACTTTTATCCTGCCACATTGGTGTCATTCAGTGTCTGCTTATTCTACAGTTCAAGTAGGAGATGAAGTGGTAGGTAGGCAGAAGTGCGCAATGGACGGTTTACAAAGAAACACCCACTTTTCCACCAGTTATCATAGGAGCCACATTTTCCTCTAAGACCCTGTCAACTCAAATTAAATTATATTTCGACCTTAATAATACAGATACTTAATATTATTACACGAAGCATCTACTTAATTATAAAGTGTAAAAAGAAAAACGTAAGTACTTAAGCGCCTACTGGCAAATTAAATGTGACCAGACGAGAAACCTTAAAAATGTACCAATAAAACAGTTCTTTTCACTGAAAAAACTCCACAAAGAAATCTCATCTTTGCTATGTATTCCATAAATTGATAATTAATATCGCCCACACGTTCTTTTTAAAAGCTTCGGTACTATAATAATCCTTTTTGAGAGGGAATTTTTGCGGTAATTAAATACTAACACCCTCTTTAAAAGAAGCAACTTGACATGCTATACAGTATACAGCAATAGATTAAAATGTCTTGCGTAGGAAGCCGTTTTAGTTTAAAATATTTCAAATTAGCTTTCCGTTGTGCGACTTCGGCTGCGTCTAAGCAATTTAGAATTCTCTCAAGTAGAAGGATCTGCAGAATAATGGCGTAAACTTTCCAATTATGAAAACAAATTTCAATTTTTTTAATAATTTCCGGGGCTCAATGTAAAGAAACAACTAAATCTGTCCTCTTTTTTGATACTTGATGGGCTGACGTTCGACCACTATCTCGCCTGGTGGTAAGCGATGATGCGGTCTACATGCTTCATTAGCATGTCGACCCATAAGCAACCTATTCACTCGGGCCTTGAAGACACCCAGGTTATACCCTTCAGGAAATACAGACTCTGGCAAGAATTCCACTCCTTAGCGGTACGCACAAGAAAGTTTGATACGGAGCGCTTCGTGCGAGTGGGTGGGACATCTACCATGGTGGGACATGATTGTAAGTATCAATATGAATGCCATCTCTGGACATTCACAACACCAGAACAGTCAGAACTTAAATGAGCGTCACGTTTTAAAAAGTAGAACGCTTTGTCTCAAACGCCGTACTTTTTAGTATATAAGGGAAAAAAGTAGAAACTATTTTGCGTGGTAACAATGTGTAGGTAGTCGATTGTTTTTAAAAGGTTAGAGATAGTGTTCATGTTGCTAAACAAAGAAGAATTTGACTAGACTCTTTTGCTCATTCTAATAAAACTGTTTTTAAGAGGTGTTGCTACCTACGCTCAGGTCACTGTACAATTTCTGAATTGGAGTAGGTGTCTGCCTACCAGTCGTTGCTCATTAGTCCCCTGTTTGCATGTTAGGAAATGTGTGCAGGTATAAAGATACTTTTTTTGTCAAAAAAGGATGCATAGTGCACAAAATTTTTGCTGTTTAAGGGCTGACTTATCCAAAGCCAGATCAATTTTAACTGACGAATAACTTTGAATATATAACAATTCTTCCGTACTAAAAACTGTTAAATGTCAATTTTGTTCTACAGTTAAGTATTAACTGGTGATTGAAAAGGCCCTAACCTGTTTATAATATTAGCCTATTAATTATAATTTGTACTGCAAAATCGGTATTCGTTCGATAAACATCCTGGACTCTTGACATAGCCGAATGCCAGATAAAAAATAAATCGTAGCTAACAAAACAAAAACATTCTAGCTACCAAACAAAACAACATCTATGAAAATGTATAAAACCCAATAAAAAATAGAAAACAATAGAATATCGGACAACACAAAACCGAACTGCACAATCGTCATGGAACAGACATGTTTTTTTTTTTGAAGTTTGTTAATTAATATACTAACACATTCTCCTAAGTGTATCAAACACTTCTCTAAAAACCGCATCAAAATCAATTCAACCAATCGCGAGATATATAAAATATATATTACGTGATATACCTCTATATATACATATAGGTTACACTGAGAACATCCTTTTTTGAAACCGATAAAAAAAATCTTTGTCCATATTGTTTTACTGCATTTTTTTACTATGTGGCGCACGGGACGTTGCCCGGTGGGCGGGAAACCGATCAATTTAGATAATAAAATATGAAGTGGCTGAATTTGGCCTAATTGAAACACGATCGTGCTTGACAGCAGGGGAAAGCGAATTGTCGTAATTGACCGTTGAGACAAAAAGAGTTAAAATTGTATTTTAAATAAACCATTTCTTATTTGTATGCTGTTATGTTTTGCGCCTCTTTCTAATATATGCATAGTGCGGTCTATATAGTTTTTTTTAATGGGTGAAAATGATCCAATGGCTTCTCCCGTCCGGGTGAGGCGGGAGGGAGTGTCAGACTCTTACTGACTAACTAAAAACTTCTCTCCTCCTCTCCTGCACGTCGAGCCGGAGCCCCGGTAACCCGTTAAGTCTTCCGCGGCTCCGTAGTCAAGTACTAGGACCAAAACACGTGGGTAAAATAACGAACCAAATTTTGTTAAGTCAGCTAATATATAAAATACAATATAAGTTTCGTTATATAAGTGCAAAGCTGCTAAACCACCCACTTTGGTTTAAGTTTAAGTAGCTGTATAGATTCCAGCTCCCAGCGAAGGCGTATGGGAGACTCCCACGCATTGGCGGCCGCATTATCACGGATCAAAACTAAATATATTTTTAATGATGAATTATTTTATTTGATATCTTATTGGTGCACATAAAATAATATTTACAGTACATTTTTATTATGCCTTTTGTGTTCCCGAAGGGTTAGGCAGAGATGCACATTATATAATGCAACACACTCTTTATCAAACAAGATAACATCACGCCTTTTACGCCCGAAGGAGTATGCAGAGGTGCATATTACGGCATTTAAT